TTGCATTAGCAAGTCTCCAGATAAATTATTTTTCTCACTGTTCCCACTTATTATTATTATTATTTATTATTAAAATGTTCGTGGGGGGGGGGCGCCTGGGTGGCTCAGTGGGTTAAAGCGTCTGCATTCGGCTCAGGTCATGATCCCAGGGTCCTGGGATTGAGCCCCACATTGGGCTCTCTGCTCCGCGGGAAGCCTGCTTCCTCCTCTCTCTCTCTGCCTCTCTGCCTACTTGTGGTCTCTCTCTGTCAAATAAATAAATAAAATCTTAAAAAAAAAAAAAAAGTTCATCGATGCCAACACTCGGGAAGACAGTACCCCAAGTTGTATCTACCCAGCCAAGTCCAGGTACAAAGGCAAGCACCCCATGCTGCTGGGGCACATGTCCTCCATGTGTGGAGCACCCAGGTGGGTCTCCAAACAAGCAACATCCATTCGTGTGTGTGTGTGCAGACACTGGGTCCCCCGAGGCTCACATACTAAGACTGATGTGAGCTGTTCTGCTTGTTTTTCCCTCGCCTGCCATGCTGATGTGCTTTTCCTGAGGGGCATGGAGGCTGCCCTCAGAGCCTTCAGGGGTCAGACAGGTGAGGTGAGTGGTTGATGAGGCTTCCTAAGACAATGGAAAATGGCGGGAATGTTTCCAAGTGGAGAGGGCTAGCATGCTCTCTTTGGGGCAGCCACTGCTCGGCTCCAGAGCACTGGCCATGTGAAATGTTGGCCAGTGAAGGCAGATCACTGCTTTTTCTTTTTTTAAGAAGCCAGAAACCCAGAGTTCTATGTTAAATCTCCAATTTTTTTTCCCCTGAAATGCTGGCAACTAATTTTGCTTTTTTTCTGCTCTGTGAGCCAAACTTTGGCCAAGTCCTACCAGTCTGTGAGCCCGAGCAGAACTTTCCAGGGCAGGCATTGGGGGAATGGCTGGGCAGAGGACTGGGGTTAAGCATGAGTGGTACTCTGGCTGCACAGGCTTGTCGTGGCTCTCCAGTCCTCATGGCACCAGATTAATCAGAAGGAAGACATGGCCATTTGTGACCTCAGTGACATCCCCTTTGCTTCATGCTTTGCTGACACAGTCACCTGCTGCTATATGACAGGGGTGTGCAGGAGCGAGGTGGATGGAAGCTCCAACTACTGAAAATACTCGATCATTTCAAAACACAATTATCACCACGAATGCAGCCACAGGATTTTCAGACAGACTTCCTTTCAGCCCCTTTTGTTCAGCCCTCAATCTGGAATACTGGAGGCTGGGTTCCTGGCCAATCAGCACTCTGCACAGACCATTCAGCTCACGGCAGCCAATAGCCCCAACACCACTTGTACGCCATGGATCTGTTAAGTCAATTTGGTCTTAAAAACTGTAGGGGAAAAATTACAGTAGAAGAGAATTTTTATCTGGGCTGAGAGTGTATAGTTAAGTCAACACAATTCTCACCCATGTGACTGAGAGTAAAGTCATGTAATTCATTTTAGATGAATCCAAATAGATCTAATAAATTCACCCGGCAGATGCCTATTAAAATGAAATATGCTCTTAAGGTTTTCCACAAATACTGCAGGTTGGAGAAGAGGAGGGTTATACCTTTAGAGTAGTGGTGGATTCTACAAAGGCCCTTTCTCTTCAGGCTCAGGAGAGTGGAAAGTTGAGACGATGAGATGGGAAATCAGGCAGGAGAAGCTGACTTTTGAAGTAAATGTTTTTGTTTAGAATGCTCGTATTGGGACGCCTGGGTGGCTCAGTGGGTTAAGCCTCTGCCTTCGGCTCAGGTCATGCATGATTCCAGGGTGCTGGGATCAAGTCCCGCATCAGGCTCTCTGCTCAGCAGGGAGCCTGCTTCCCTTCCTCTGTCTCTGTCTGCCTCTTTGCCTACTTGTGATCTCTGTCAAATAAATAAATAAAATCTTAAAAAAAAAAAAAAAAAAGAATGCTCGTGTTGACAGCCTCCCCACTATCTCATTGCCTGGGTATCTGCTGAAGTCTAAGTCCAGTGGAGCCCAGAGAAGCACAGTTAACAGAGAGGGAAACCAGCAAATGGCTGTAGATGCCCAGAAACACATGGTCTGTGGGTAGCACTGATCCAAGTCTCAAAAATTCCTTAAACAACCTCTTTAATTGCAACAGCCCAGCTAGCTCCAGAATCTGATATTCAGAGGCAAGTGCCTGTTTGTGTTTTGTTCTCCTAAGCTCAAGGCCTGTCTGCAACGCTGCAGTCTTAGAGGGAAGACCCAGCCCGCATTCCGTGGAACGGGAAATGACCATGTGATTGAATGGGGATCTCTCCGCGAAATAATCGTTTCAACAAGAAAATATATTGTCTACGTATTTACAAGGGTTGAGCCCAAAGTTGTGTAGGAAGGGAGTAATACATCACAACGCTGGCCGAAGACAACTGTAAAGTGTTCGTGTGGACGGCCCGTGGTCCTGCCAGAACGCTTGCTTCCTCCCCTATGATGTACATGTTAACAATCTGATGATATGATGATAGAAAGACACATAAAACAGCTATTTTTCCTGGCATGGAGCCCTACTGTAAACCTGGAGATACTTAAATACCCTATTGCAGACTCAGTCCTGGCTAAGTGTAAGGATTAAAGGATGCGCGGAACAGGTTTCTTCTGCGAGCATCGCCCTGCCGGCCAGCTTCTGGCGGTGGAGCACGGTGCGTCTGCCCCATGCCGTCTTAACATGGGAACCACGAAACTTGGGAGATACAATAAAATAGCAGGGCTCAGCCTCGTTGGCTTGTAGGGCACGTGTACAAAGACGAATGCCAACTGGGGAAGGCCAAAGACTCAAGTGTCGTGTCAAGACAAATTAATCTTTGAAAGTACACGTATATTTCCCAAGATTGAGAACCAGCGTTCTGAGTCTGTTATTCTTCCTTCACCCGCTGCAAATGACCTGAGGTATCTGCTTCTGTATTGGGCTACAATACCGCTCCTGAGCCCTCGGTAAATGTTGCCCCTTCTGCCGGCCCGCTGTAGTTTCTCATCTAACATCTAACAGCTGACTGGGATCTGGTTTATGTCTTGCTTACTCCCGTCACTGATTTCTCCTCTTTAGTGTTCTACTGAACAGAAGCCAGGAGAAACAAACAAGGGGACCTCAAGGCTTCTTCCCTTTGGGTTCAGAGTTTCTGCAATAGGAAGAACCAGCAAATCAATGAATGAACAGACGATCGCTTTTAACCTGTCTATAAATACATGCTTATATCTCTGGGTAATGGATTGCCCTGGTGAGCAAGTCATCATTTAAAGCTTAATTTTAATCTCCACACCAGAGATGGAGATACGGAAGGGCTCGGGCTTTTCTCTCACACTCTCTCCCTCTTTTTCAAGATAAATCAAATTAATTAATGTGTACTTTCCAACTGAAGAAATGATTAAGACCCAGCTGTGTCTGTGAAACTGTAAGTTGCGACGCTACACTTGGGACTTGTTACTGCTTATTTTGGCATGAAGAAGAGAGACAAAGGTATCTAATATTAAGTGTTCTCCAAAGTGTAAGTTGGCAGTTTGTTCACCAAATTAACCTTCAAAGACCCCTCACTTACTAAGTCTGACCTTCCTACACACAAATCTTAGGAATAATCGATGGACTACTGTAAAATAGCTTTCTTCAACAAAGATCATCTTTGGCAGGCTACTTCAAAGGCTTTACCACTCTGGAAAGATGAAAAGGTATCCCCATTTTACATGATTTCCCCTATAGATTAAGACTTATTTGAAATATGTCTGAGAATTATGCGATATTTACTGAATTATGTGCCTTCTTTCCCCGTATTCAGCAGCCCCAATGGGACTGCTTTTATTTCTAAGATTTAGGAGAATTTTCTACACAAAATAGAGCATTTTTAAGAACATATACAGCTGGTCAGAACAGTATATCTGGCATTTTTATTCACTACTGTTCCAGTGCAAGGCAGTATTTGAAACTAAAATATACAGAGAGAAATTTTTTTAACCAATACCATTTCAGGGGATGCCTGGGTGGCTCAGTTGGTTAAGTGTCTGACTTCAGCTCAGGTCATGATTGCCAAGTCCTGGGATCAAGCCCCAGGTCAGGCTCCCTGCTTAGCAGAGTCTCTGCTTCTCGCTCTGCCCCTCCCAACTCCTGTGCTCACTCTCTCAAATAAATAAAAAAAGTCTTTAAAAAAAAAAATAACAGTTCAGAATTTGGTTTCAGATTCTCCCTATAGTATTCTTCAGAGTCTAAAAGGATCCACTTTTTTTTTTTTAAACAAAGATTGTGTGATTTTTATTTATGCCTAAGGTCATTCTAGAATTACTATGGAATTATAGAATTATTTCAAAGAAGGGGTGAAGCAAGTAACAGAAATTAACAAACAGGGTTCATTATGGGGTGTGTGTGTGTGCACGCACGAGCACATGCACACGTAAGCAAGTCTGCCTGTGTGTTGCAGGTGGGGTGTGGTGCCTGAAGGGAATAGTCACATTTAGGTCAAGAGGTCAGATCTTCTGATTTTTATCAGAAACCTCCTTTATTTCCCCCCCCAATATTGGCAACCACTTCAAATTTTTTGAAAGAACCGGAGCTGGACAAACAAAACACATCTGGGGGATGGCAGGCTGCCTTAAACCTGCTGAGAAGAAAAGTATTTACATTAAAAAGAAAAAAATGCTTTCTCAGTCATCCACACTTTTTGGAATGCGTTTTCGTGACTGTGAATAGGAACCTATGACAGCCTTAAAATGGCTTTGGACAGAGGAACTAACAAGGTTCTGGGTCCTGTGTTCCAGGAGCAGCTTTGTGAAAGGGCTCTGATGCGCCAGGAAGGAGGCTGCCCTGGGTAACAGATACAGGTTTCTAATATAAAACAGTAATCCGTGAATTCACAAATGAAAAGATATGAAACAGACCCCTTTTCTCTTAAATTTATCTTCAAGGTCATTTCATTTTATGGAGGTGAACACAGCTGACTTGCCAAAAAAATATATATATATATTTAATAATATCCTTCTTTGCTCTCTGGCAGGGTGAAGTAGAGAAATAAAGTCTCCCCGCTGAACTACTATGAGGTCAGAAGCCTTGCTGCTATATTTCACACTGCTATACTTCGCTGGGGCTGGCTTCCCAGAAGATTCTGAGCCAATCAGTATTTCGCATGGCAACTGTAAGTATCCACGATTATCACTGTCATTCACTCCTTCTGTGGGCATTTTAGGCTGCATCACCCAGCAAAACACCCACCTTTTCTAAAACTTAATAAAACAGGAGACTTGCTAGTAGACAACAGCAGGGTCTCATCAAATTGGGGAGATGGCTGTTCTGTAACTCAGTTAAATACTGTTGGGGTGACCCCTGTGTGAACATGGGTGTGAGGATCTGAAACGTTCCTCAAGTCCCTCTGATGAAGTGTCCGGCCACGACAAGGAGGCCATCCTCGATCGTGCCCGGAAACCAGGAGTGGGAGAGTATCACTACCATGTGGGTATCGCCCGGAGCATGCCTTCTCACGTGTGGTTAACATGTGGGCACTGTTACAAGATGAGAACAAGAAAAAACACTATTTTCTTCTTTTAGATTTAGAGGTAAAAACTTTGCTGGACTTCGGATTCACAGAGGACCTATTTTAACTATTTATAACTGTCTTTTGGTCTCTGCTTCAATGTGAAGGGTAGAAAGCCATGTGATTAAGAGTTCAGATGACTATTCAAGAGGAAAAGTCCTACCTGCACATGGGATCCAACAGCCCATGTACTACTTCCTTCCCTTCCCTCCAAAAGACAAAATGTTTTATCGTAATAAAGGTGAAAGGGAGCCCTTTCACCCAAATATCCATTTTCCCCATAGCCATCCCAAAACAAATACTGAACAGACCCTAAGGAAAGTATTTAGCTATAGGGGATATGAAGGAGAACCATCAATGTGTGGCTTTCTGCTGGACAGTCCCTGAAAAGGGAAAGAATTTCATGAAAGTGAGCTGGCAGGACTTGGCACAGAAGACAATGAGTGCACAAAAGTCAGGGCGTGCTTAAGGACCAAACTGTGTAGTTCAAAATGACTGAAAAGGCAGTCCACCTGACTCAAGGTACCAAATCTTCATACGCATTTATTAATCCCCATTTGGGATAGGTATTCGATCTCTGCTGCCCCTATAAAGGAGAGTCCCCAGCCCAAATATGCTGCTGAAAATGGAAATGTCAGTGGACACTCAAATCCTTGACAGTAGAGGGACACGAACTATCTTAGCAAGCTCCTTGATGAATAGGTAAATGAAACTTCCGAGGGTGCAGGGGAACGCACAAGATAATCCCATACCAAGCTTGACTGTGAGTCAAATATACCAAGGCTCTCTGATACCCACTGTGAGTAATGCTCGGAGACTCTGGGGGATTCCAGTGTTGGGGTCTGAGCATGAATCTGTGAGTGGGTTTCAAGCCATTATTTACAACCCACCCCAAAAAACATTTTTAAATAAGACTCATCCTTCTTTCCTTCTGAGTTTCTCTGGAGGATTGCCAGTGCTCTGGAGAGTGTAGGTTTAAAGGCAGAGAGATTTTTGAAATGTAGGTATTTCTAAAGGTCAGATATTATTACAAATTGCCCGCTCTCAGCTCAAGAGAACAGGAGGAAAGCAGAAATATGTTCATTGACGGATCTCCAAGTCAGGGAAAATTCCAGATCACCTGACTGGCTACACTCCGTTTGACCCTGTCCTGTCAAAGCCCCCGCTTCTGTGAGATTAGCCAATTGCTTAACTCAAGAGTGAACTTCCCACAGTTCCTAGAATGCCAACCAACGTAGCGGGGCTGCCTTCAATAGTAGATTATTCCAACTGGACGCCTGTGGAGACTGTATTTTTCTTCTGGCTCCTGGATGAGGGTTCTCGCCTCCAGACCACATTGCCTTTGTGGTGATTGATGGGAAAGCTGCTTTGAAATAGTTTTGTCCGGAGACAAGATCTTTGGCAGGCTGCCCCTCAGGCTTAGCACTCTAAAGAAGATGAAAAGAAAACTGGAAGAAAAGAGCACCTTCATGTAAAGGGTTCACTTGTAAGTTTAACCCCCCAAAAGAGGGACAAGTCAGAAATTGTGACACCGAGAAACAGAAGTCCGGGCTGATTATCATCTGGAAATGAAACTGTAACTTGATCGTCCTCACAGAGCACCCATCTATCACAGACTTTCCTAAAATAACAAGACTCCTTGGATAGGGAAAGGGGTGGCATGGACTGACTTAAATATGGTTTTGTTTTGGGGCCAGGCCCCTCCCCTCCCTACCCTGTCAACTCCTGGCTTGACTTCCTCTCCCTCTCTTGCCCCATCTCTTCTTTTCACAGATACAAAACAGTATCCGGTGTTTGTGGGCCACAAGCCAGGACGGAACACCACACAGAGGCACCGACTGGACATCCAGATGATTATGACCATGAACAGAACCCTCTACGTTGCTGCTAGGTGAGTGGCCTTTCCCTCATGTCTGCCTGAAGAGCATCTGGAGGGCTCAGATCTGAACATACCCGTGATGCAGCATTTTAAAGACCATGACGTTCCCAAACAACGCGCTGCTGAGCTTAAAAAGGCTACTTTTGTTGGTCAATCATGCTTTCAAGATTTTCTGTGTCTGTTTAACTACAGGTGGATTTAGATGGAAATGTTTGCATACGCTAGAGCTTAGACTTAAATAATCCACTGTTTGTCTTGAACATATATGCAAATAGCTAATTGCGCAACCAGGAGAGCACTTCTGTCCTTGATACTTGTTAAATTAACCCGAATGTGTAAACATGTATTATCCAGTGTGTGTGTAAGTGTAATAGTCACTTTGTAGTGAGTTTGTAGTATATATCATTACTGCAATAGAATGACAGTAGCACCAGTTTTTTTTGTTTTTGTTTTTTTCCAAAGATTTTATTTATTTGTTTGACAGACAGAGATCACAAGTAGGCAGAGAGGCAGGCAGAGAGAGAGGAGGAAGCAGGCTCCCTGCTGAGCAGAGAGCCCGATGCGGGGCTCGATCCCAGGACCCTGGGATCATGACCTGAGCTGAAGGCAGAGGCTCTAACCCACTGAGCCACCCAGGCGCCCCAGTAGCACCAGTTTTAAAAGAGTTTTTAATTTGGATCTAGTTAACAAAATACTCAACCACTGGGTAATGTCATTTAAACAGACCGCGTCTTAAGGGCTGAATAGCATAGCAAGAAAACAGCCCAAACAGGGCTCATACGGATTTAGGCTTTTGTCTTAATTCTATTCTTCATTAACCCTGACCACAACGTCTCTGGCCATGAAGTGTCCTCTCTCAAATGAGACGTCTAACTATTTTAAGAAGTCCCTTGGGGTTTTAACAATGGAAGATCCCCAATCTTGGAGGTGCCTAGTTCATTCAAAAAAATTCTAAATGAAAAGCGACAAGGAACACTATCTTGTGGGGTTCCACAGTGATCTTCACCTGGGTCCACACCAAGTAATCACTGCACAGTGGGAAGAAGAAACAGAGATTATGTCTGTGATACCTGCATGGCTGTGAGTGTGGATAAGGAACAGGTCAATAAGAGCAGTGGTTCATTCTTCTAAAGCACTTAGGTGTTCTCAAACAAAAAGCTATGCGACATAAACCAAAAACCGATGGCCACATTACAATATCCTGCGAGTACCCCACAACATGTCCCAGGGAGCAATGCCGAAGCCCTTTCCAACAACTGTACTTCACAAATACGTACATGTTACATATTAGTTGTATGTGCTGTGTAAGTTCTTTACAAATGTTCGTTTATTCGATCCTGGAAAAGAACCCTAGTTCAGTGAAGGAGCTATTATCTCCCTGTCTTACAGGAAGAAACCCAGGGAGAGGAAGGGGAAATGCCTGGGACCAAAATGACAAAGGCAGGATTTGAAGTGGGGTGGCCTTGCTCTAGAAGCTGGGCATTGACTCCCAGTACTGGGCAGCCTGCTGAGGAGGAGAGCTGGGACCACTGGTCCTGGCAGTAACCTTCTCCCAGCTTCTGCGCAGGAACATAGCCAGCGTGGGTATTCCTCAGCTGCAATGAGGTCCTCAGTAGGTGACCCTCTGGTAGAAGAGTAGGTCCTTCTTTCTTTTTTGGGGGGGGGGGCGCTACGATTTTATTTAATTATCTGACAGAGAGGCATGAGTGGGGGTAGGAGCTGAGAGAGAAGCAGGCTCCCCGATAAACAGGGAGCCCGGTACGGGACTCGATCCCAGGACCCTGGGATCACGACCTGAGCTGAAAGCAGCCACTTAATGACTGAGCCACCCAGGCGCCCCCATCAGTTCCTTCTTAAATATCATTTTTGGATTCCTAAATGTAGCAGCACTGGAAGATTACACGTGTAGTCGATTGTCTATAGGCTGGTCAAAACAAATGATTCAACACTGGATCTATGAGAAATAGGTTGAGTCAAGAATCTTCTATGAATGATTCAGTCTGCAATTCAGTCTTTAAGGGGGAAAACAGGATAACAGACGATCCTCGTACCTGATGATTTAGTGCGGGTGTGGACTGCAGGTCCAGGATGGCCCCTGAGTCAGGAGCAAAGTGCTGTGTACACTTAAAAAGTGACAGTTATTCCAGCTCGTTAAAATCTAGACAGTGTTATCCTCCCCGTGCCCCCCTGCCAAAAGGAGAAACTTAAGGGGGAAAAAGGAGAGAAACACATTCATTTTTTTAAAACTAAAAAATGAACAGACCTGCCGAGGTCAGAACGGACCTGCCTTTCATAAAGGTCAAATTTGTAAGACCCCTGCACTGACCTATCGGTTTCCATTCTACACACAGCAACCTGCCTTTAGTACCCACCCTTGGGAAAACTCCTGAAGGAGTTTCCTGGTCACTATGTTTAGGGTCTCTCCCCTGCCTTTTCCCAGCACAGCCCAGAGATATCCCAGTCCCTGGGCAGCAAGTGACACGATGTGAAGTCCAGTCCTTCCCCCAGGCTCAAACCACGGCAACACAATTCAGTTTTGCTCACTACAGGTGGGGGGGAGAGGGAAATCCTCAGACTAAGTCAATTTGTGTTCAAATAACTGAATTCAGAAGCTTATGAATCCTGGGATGTACACACGGACAGGAGGGAATAACCGCCCACCACGGCCTTAGGTTTAGCATAAAGTGTGCTTTCTGTTTGCTAGGTAGTGTGCTCTCTTGGATACTGAAAAAGACTGCAGTGGTCCAAAAGACGTCATTCACAGAATTCTATTTCTAAAATAGGCTTCCTGATTCTTGTTGACAACTGGTGTCAGTTATCAGAAGCCAAGTCCCACCCAGAACCCAGAGACTGAGTGAGCCTTGATGGCAGGGACCCTTCAATTCTGCCTTATTACTATCCATTTTGAAAATTCCTTTTTGTTGTTGTGTAATCTCCAAACTGCTAATTAACATAAACAGGCCATGCCAGAAGGGGGCAATCCCAGAGCTTTCAGAGGAATTGCCAGTGCATATTAATCAGCTCTTAATTTACAATTCATATGTTCTGCTCCTACTTAAAGTTTTCAGGGGAGGAAGGGCAAGGAAAAACCCAGAGTCATCTCAAACCTGATACCAAAGTAAGAGGCAATTCCATCCCAATAATGAACCTGACCCACAGCACCACCAATAAAGTCAAACAAGTAATAAACGAATGCAATAAAACTGACTTGAAATTAAAGGGCAGGGTGATTCTGGCACCCTACTGAGATTCCAAGAACTTCCCAATTCAGCAATTTACAAAAACAGGCTCACCATTCTCCCCCTCACCACCCTGAGAGAGAGAGAGAGAGAGAGAGAGAGAGACACACACACACACACACACACACGGCTCAAAGGCTCACAGTTTCAAGGAAATTCTGTAAGCCAATCGCCTTGCCCCCAACTTTTATTTTCACGTGAGAAAGCCTGTTTATATTTCTGTTTTTCTCTGTTGTACTTTTCCTAAAAGCAGTAGCAGATCTCCAAAGAAGGTGGGGGGAGGGGGAATTAAAGGGAATCCTGACAGCAGATCATTCCTTTCTTTTTTTTTTTTTTCCCCTTCCCCACTCTCTCCACTTTCTCTTAAGTAATGAGGTGCCCTAAAAGTACACGGGAGCCTTGAGGTCCTGGTTAAAAGCTGTGGGTAATTTTCCAGCCCCAGGACTTCCTGCGTTTTAGAAAAAGTCAATGTTATTTCAAGGGAAAATGAGCTGTTTTGCTTTCCCTCACTAGCCCCCTATCTCCTCAGTTGAGTGAGTTCTTTTCTTTTCTTTCTTCTGAATCCCAGACAAAAACGCCCTTGTACTCAGCTCACACAGAAGGGGATGTTTAAATATAGCCCCACACCTGAGCTGCTGATTCTGTTTCTTCCCTTCCAGGGGGAGATTGGCAGCAGATCGTAAAGGCAACCAGATTCTCAGCAGAACAGGAAGGTGAACAGAAGAAATGTAAACTTTAGCTCAAGCACATTTTAGACCTTAATTGACCATCACTGTGTGAAGAAAACAGTGCTTTCTGGAAATAATTTCACCTTTATCATCTCCCCTCTTGTCAATCACATCATCAAAGCTAAGGCCGGAAATAAGTTTCGTACGGGGAGAAACAGCCGGAGATGAGCTCTTTGTTAGCTCCCATGATGAAGGAAGGTGGTCTGTTGAATACCAAGTATTTGGTACATGGATTGGAAGATACTGAAAGGGAGTGGGGAAACCCACCTGTGTTCTGGGTTTTGGGACAGTTTCACTTTCAAAGTCCTCTCTCCTGAACTACATACATACAGAGATTGTAGTACTGGTATGAGGGAGACAACAGCAAAGTTTTCATAAAAGGTGTCCCTCTCAGCAAGATGCTACGACTTGTCGGAAGTAGCAAAGTGTGATCGAGGGGTATCTCTTGCAGGCTGAACTGTTCACTTTTTCTTGCATGTGGAGGTCTCTTTTCTAATAACGTGGATATGGATTTATTTGCCTTGAATGAGACAGACACTCATTCAGGAGAAAATTAACTATCCTGACTCCTGTACCTGACACTGTATCAATTTCTCATTGTTTACAGGGACCATATTTATACTGTTGATATGGACACCTCACACACAGAAGAAATCTATTGTAGCAAAGTAAGTAGTTTTAAAACCATCGTTTAGGATAGCTCTAGAAGGGATTATGTATTTGAAATGCACTGAGTGAGATGACATAGCGAATAATTTGGAATAATTTGGAACTTTTTTTTTTTGCGGTCCTACTAACGTGGGGTGAATCCATGTTTGAAAACAGCTATCTACTTCAAAGTTTATTCACCAAATATGTGTGCCTGTGTCCTCTGGAGTTTTAGGTCATTTACAAATTCCTTTAAAAAAATAATACCATGTTTGTCCAGGAAAATAACAGTTTTCATATGTAAAATTTTGCCCCACAAATGTTTCAATGTTATGTTTCCACGTCTTACAGTGTTAAGTTTGATTTACCTGTTATGGCTCAGGAATCTAATCATTAACCACTTCAGAAAGACATAAAATATAACTTAAGCTTCCCCTATAACTCCACATGGAGGTATTTTAGTTAATAAAATCTGCCACAGAAGTAGACGATCCCTTCAGTCCATGAATTTACGTGGAGTGGAACCTGAATTAAACCTTTGTCCACCGAAAGTGAATGTCCCCTTTATGTTTAAGTAAATGACTTCCATATTTTAAGGGAAAAAGCGTGCTTTATGAAAACTGATTTATCAACTGAAAGGAAAGGGCAAGGACATGTAGTTTATCAAAATGAGCATCGTTTAGCAAGTTGATTTGGATATTTTATGAGAAATTTCCATGCCGTTGTTTGTTCTTTTTTCCTTTTCTCCTTCATCTTTATCTCAAGGAGAAGAAGCTCATTCTGTAGTTTAATGAATAGATAGGAGTTCAAAATTAAATGAACGGTTCCCATCTCCGATCTTTTGTTGTTATGGTGAATTAATCATGGAGAAAGGGTGCGGAAAGCTTTCCATAAATATATGTTCAGCCACCATCTCAAGGGAACTCTTACTTCTAAAATCAAATGCAAGAACCTCTAGGCTCTAATTGATTTCTTTCTTGATCCCCGCAGAAACTGACATGGAAATCTAGACAGGCTGATGTAGACACATGCAGAATGAAGGGAAAACATAAGGTAGGCAATTTTCATTCCTCCTGCAGCTGCCACTTTGGGTTAAGTTTTTGACGGTTATCTCCGGCCATAGACCGTGATGTGGAATGGATCATGCTAGTCCCTTTTCCCCCAGTAATTGCTTTTTCCATCAATTTATTGAAGGCTTTAATTTGCAAAAACAGTTTGCTTTTAATGTGATGAAATATTACGATAGCTGCTAGGGCTGCATCATGAACTACTTAGGGGCACAAGGGATTATGGACACCAAGCCCGCTGCCCCAGCTCTTCTTTTTTTTTTTTTTAAGATTTTATTTATTTATTTGACAGACAGAGATCACAAGTAGGCTGAGAGGCAGGCAGAGAGAGAGAGGTGGAAGCAGGCTCCCCACTGAGCAGAGAGCCCGATGCGGGGCTCGATCCCAGGACCCTGGGATCATGACCTGAGCCGAAGGCAGAGGCTTTAACCCCCTGAGCCACCCAGGCGCCCCTGCCCCAGCTCTTCTGAGCGCACTCGCCAGTAGCCCGCCGCACAGACCTGAGTCCTTGGGGAGGGTGAGGAAGAGCTCAGAAGAGAGCTGCGCAGACAGACAGGGGTTTGTACCTTGAGTCCCAGAACAGCATAAAAACACACTTCAGCCAGGAGCCTTGCCCAGCAAGGGACCTTGGGACATCTGGCGTTAAAATTAATACAGTGGGAGGTTGGCACTTATACGCTCGTTCTCTCTACCCTGGACTTTTAGTTACTGTTTAAAAAAAAAAAAAAAAAAAAAGCCGTTGTTGCCCACATCATTTTTTGGTTAAACATCAGGAGGCGCTCGAATTCTTAACAGGGGAACTCTTTAACCTTACCGTCAGCAGATGGTGGGAGACGGGGAAGGATGGATTTCTCTATTGGCCAGATTGAATACAAAAGAGTTTGAATTATTTTTCAGGATGAGTGTCACAACTTTATTAAAGTTCTTCTAAAGAAAAATGATGATACTTTGTTTGTCTGTGGAACGAATGCCTTCAACCCTTCCTGCAGAAACTATAAGGTAAGTGCGGTTTTGTCTGCTGGAACCACACGGGCCAGAGGTATTCCGTGATTTACTGTGAGTGTACCTGCAGCGACCTAAGGGGGTAATTCAACACCATCTGGGTTCCTCTCACCCACTGGACTTAATGTACTGCTCCACATGAGTGATTCTGAGCAGGCTCCTAAGCTTCCTGTTTGTGCAGGACTGACTGACACATCTTTAAGGAGCCTTCCCAGCAAAGTTCATTTCTCTAAGACCTTATTCTTCATTGTTCAGAGTGCCAACGGACTTTTGCATGTACACCTTGTGGACTTCCTCTCTCTCCCTCCCACCTTCTCCCTCCCACCTCACCATCCTCTCTGAGCACAAAAACACACTTGGGTTGTGAGTGACTCCTATTTTAAGAGGTATCTCAAACACACACCAGTGCAAACTGTGGGCTTTCTTCTAGGAGAGACTTCTAAGAATACAGAAGTTTAATTCCATTTAGTACTCACCACTGTGGCCTTTATGCAAGAGAAAGCAAAATTAAGTCTCGGAGCATTAACAGATCAAGTTAGCTCTGAGTGGCGGACAGAGGCGCTGCTGAAGCAGCCCCACATCTGTTCGCTCCCCTTGCCCGTCCTTCCCGCCGCAGCCCTTCTTCCCGCACACATGTACTGTGTTCCTCGTGTGGCCAGGCACTGAGGCTGTAAGGACAAAGAGGGGGTCTCCATCCTTAGGGAAGCCACACAGGGAGAAGAAAACTATAATTCCATGAGGGGCAGAGCATTATGGAAGAACAACGGAAAGGTGCTCACCTTAGCCTGAGGTGGAGAATCAGAGAAGGCTTCCAGAAGGGGGCAGATGACCCCACTCTGGAGATGCTCCCTGCAGCAGTTCTCACATGGGGAACATGAACGTGCCCAGCTCGGGAGACACCCTCAAACTCCACGACTGTCCAGAGCCTGACCCAGTGCCTCCCAACACGTGCTCTGTTCATTTGTGTGGGGTAATAGGGATTGAGGCGCCTAACCGCTGTTTTAAAGTAGACCTTGGCCAAAGGAAGAGAGGAGGACATTCCAGGCAGGGGGAACGGCAGGAACAAAGGCACTGAGTAAGAAACAGTCTGTTGAGCTTGAGAAACTTCCTGTGGGTCTAAGTGCTGGACTCTGAAGCGACAAGTAGTACCAGCAGAGAGTGGAGAGGTAGGTGCCCCCTAGGGACGAAGGGAGAAGAACAGATTCGGGAACTACTCAAGGGACAAAAACCAGTAGGACGTCATAACGGATAAGCAGTCCAGGATAAGGAGAGGGGGGGGGTAAGAATGACTGCTGTGCTTGCTCCTGGGGAAGTGGATGGATGGAGCTGCCCGCACTGGGACCGGGAGGAAGAGCAAAAGAGCACTGGGGCTGGGAGCAGGTTGTCAGAAGGTGGGGCTTGGGTTCCCGCTCAGTCAGGACGCCCAGCCCTGTGGACAGCACTGCCTGTGAGATGTGAACAGGCAGAGCTAACAAGAAGATGGATGGGTAAGCCTTGATTTAGGGAGAGACGTGGAGAGAAATACACATTTGGGTATCACCGGCATAAAGTGAAGCCCCAGGGTGTAAAGAATGCAAAGAGAAATGATGGGCTGATATCCAAAGCAACGTTTCATGGGACAGTTTTAAAAGACCCTCAGCCTGGGCAGGCGCCTGGGTGGCTCAGTGGGTTAAATCCTCTGCCTTCGGCTCAGGTCATGGTCTCAGGGTCCTGGGACTGAGCCCCGTATCCGGCTCTCTGCTCAGTAGGGAGCCTGCTTCCCCTCTCTCTCTCTGCCTGCCTCTCTGCCTACTTGTGATCTCTCTCTCTGTGTCAAATAAATAAATAAAATCATTTTTTAAAATTAGGGGGAAAAAAAGACCCTCAGCCTTCACACAGACATCAGAGGGAGGGTCTGTCTTATTAACCTCATGCTCGACTTCCATCTGACACTTGGAAATGGGCACCTGCAGGGGAGCAATTAGGGTGAGGCAAGGAAGGCATTCACCCCAGGCACAAAACGTAGGGGACCCACTAAAAATATTCAGTGGCAAGGTAAGGTAAGTGATAATTCAGAAAAATCTAAATTAATGTAAAAAACACTGTCCTAAAATAGCCAACTTTCTAATAACAACAGGACCCATTCGGTCTGCGGCAGGCAGTGAGCGCAAACATTTCCTCTGGCCAGTGACAGCTGACATTCTGACTCTCATTCTCCCACTTAATATTCCATCCCCGTTTGTCATTGTTTAGGACTCATTAAGATTAATGCCCTTCACAATTCCCAACCAATTCCCTAGCTGGAAAGCTATCTTTTATGACAAATGACAGGTTTTCTTGGCACTGTGACACACAGACCAGGAGTGGTCTCGCTCATTCTCCCCACACATGTTCTGTTCCCCGGGACGCCTCACCTGTGGCGAGACCGTCACCTCACCCTTGTTCTAGCCACACCTGCTGGGACCTGTTCGGAAGCCTGGGCCTCTCAGAAACCACACATGGGACGCTCTTCCCGCACAGTCCTGTTTGCCTTGGCAGTGCTCAGAGAAATGTGTTTTCAGACTCAGGGCACAGCAGGCTTTGTTGACGGTAGAAGACAAGAATGTACCTGGCTGCAGGAAGAACGGACGGACTCTCTTAAGCACCTTTTATGAACAGATCAGGACTACGGGTTCAAAGCAAAAACAATGGCCCATCTTTCCCCCCCACCCCCGCCAAAAACCCAAACCCAAGTCTCTTAGCACAGAGGCATCAAGTGGATTATACCAACTTGAAGCAGAACAGCGACAAATTTTTGGTACCCACCTCTGCACTATGCCCCAGTTTGCACAGTTTTAAAACAGCAGTAAGCCGAATGTATCAGAAAGATTACAGGCCCCAAATAAGATTACCTGGGGAAGCACTCTGCAGGCCACCCACTATAAACCCAAAACTATACTCCATGTCTTTCCCCTCCTGCTCTCTAAACCTCTTCAACTTGTGCAGGAAGTCAGGCTGGTTCTTAGTATAATTACCTGTACCCTATGGTGATTTAATTTCCAGGGGCTGCTGTTAAGTCTAAGATTTGGAGACTACCACAAGGATTAGTTCTAACTTCATGGAAAGAGGATTTCACCAGGGCATTGTTTTGTCTCTGGACCTTTCCAGACTCATAAACCGAAACATTAATACTTCACTGCTTCTTGCCTTTGACTTGCTATAGCTATGACTCCCTTTTTTTTTTTTTTTTTTTTTTTTTTAGAAGTAGGCACACTTAATAACATAAATCCCCCCTTGTCTACGGTCTCCCCATTGCCAGGATTACAGCACGCATGGGTAGGGGAAAAGGCATTTCCAGTGCATCACTGTGGACTAAGCATTACTTCTGGATGCTTGCCAGACCCACAGACCACAAAGTCTGTCACAGTTCAACACAATGCTATTATTGGGATAAAAAAAATTAAAAAAATTTTTAAAAACCAAACCTTTCCTAAGTGCGCTGAAGGGAGAAGAGTACATTTAAAGGTTATCTCACCTGAACATCTTTCCCCTAAAAATATGTGTTTTTACTACAACTGCTTTTGGGATTGTGAACAAGTTTCAGCAGATAGGACGGGCTTTAATAGGAGCTATCTCTAAGCAGTTGAGAAGACAGAACTTCTGCTATCTCCCTGAAACAGTTTCCTGGGGCTTGAGGGCAAAAAACACAACTGGACACCACTCCCAGCTGCTCAGGAAGCACCTCGCTCCTCCCGCACGACGAGTCCATATACTGTGATTTAAGGGTCCCTGACTCAGTGCCTTTCAGCGGGTCATCCCTGGACAAATGCACTGTCTCAGGCATCTCTTCTCCCAGCTCTGTACCTGTGGCCCCGTAGTCAAAGCAGGCAACCGCCAGAGGCAAACAAGATACCTCCCACTACAGAAAGAAGACTGAGCCACAGAGGGTTATAAAAACAATAACGACGTGGAGGAGGTAACTGTGTGGACTCTGGTACTGAGCTATAAATGCTAGGGAGATCCCACGGTGTCAGGAGAAAGACCACAGGGCAGGAGGCAGAGACCACCGAATCACTGGCCAGGGTGCGCCGACCTCTGACAGAGGCCAGGGGCTGGCCCGGAAAACCTTCTCTCCTGCTCAGGTCAGTGACGGAGGCTCTGCTCCACTCGGTTATGCAGAAGGCTAAACTTCATCCTGCTCCTACCTCGGCCATCTCCTAGGATCTTGGGATTCTGGACTGGATCCTTTGTATCTAGCAGGGCAGAATACAGAGACCCAGAGTGGAGGACACTGGAAGGTTTTTAGAGGCAAGACCTAGAGGGGGCACAGAGCCTCCCCCCACCCACATTCTATGGGCCAGAGCTCATTCTGTGAGCACACCTAACTGCAAGGGAGGGTGGGAAATGGAGTTCCGTGTGCCGTGGAGGAAAGGGAAATAGAATTTGGTGAGGCTTTAGCATACCCGCAAACCCTAGGAAGCTAGGTGGGTAACTTGCAGAAGCAAGACAAGCAGGGCGTGCTTACATTCTGTGAGCAAAGAGGCCTTGGTGCGGAGGTCTAGGTGCCTGTTAGAAGAAAATGGCAGGGGGGCCGTTACTTCTCTTATAGCTGGTTGCTGCCACTTGGGTAAGAAAGGCTTGAGGTGACTTTTCCACTTGCTCAAAAATAAGAAATCGGGTTTCATTTACAATCTCGTTTTAAAATAGAGCTCAGTTTTTCTTTTTTCTTTCCTTTTCTCCTCGTTCTCTCTCTCCCTCCCCTCCCCCACTTCTTTCTTTCCATACTAAGATGGCCAAACAAAACTCAGCAACAGACCTGTTAGAACCCTCTGCGTGCAGGGACAAGGCCTGGGGTGAGCACACATGTGGGTGTCAAACGGCAGCCCCACTCCTGACTGCCACTGACTTGTGTGAGCCCCTCATCTTCTGGACCTTTCCTTCTCATCTACACGACTGGAGGGTGGGACAGGTTTCTGAAGTTGGTGCAAAGCGCCAACCAGAGCTCCACTTGCATCAACATTTCTGTGCCTCTCCTGATGCTACCCTCTTCTGCCAGCTAGCCAGAGGAAGAATTCCAGTGTCTTCTACTGGGATTTAACCCACAAAGGCAGGGCTCCTCAGGCAAAACAAAACCAAAGACTGAGATCATTCTCTAGAGTTTATGACTCAACATTTAATTCAGAGGCAGTGGGGGAGGAAAGGAGGAAGTGTTTTGGGTTTTTTTTTTTTCCCCCAGTGGTTGCCTTAAAAATTCCTTTTCCAAGGAAAAGACGCTTATTTCTAGGCCGTTCCTAAAGGATATGGGAAGCTATTGACTCTAACAGTTAAGAGTCGAGGAAACATGACTGAGTCTCAGGCTCTCCTAGCTGCTGAACCTCAGACAAGTGACTTCATCTCTCTGAAGCTGTTTCCACATCTGAAACCAACAGACTTATCTCAGGGGATCTGAGGATCCTTTGCACTATGTGTACGAATGAGTTCGAATATTAAGTGACTTATAGGTATTTGTTGCTCTGACTACTGTTGGTTATTACTGTTCCTAATGAAGTCCCATTATTTCGTTTAGATGGATACTCTGGAACCTTCTGGAGATGAATTCAGTGGAATGGCCAGATGCCCATATGATGCCAAACATGCCAACGTCGCACTGTTTGCAGGTAAACGACGTGATTTCCTCTTGTTGCATCTGCTCTCACATGCCTGTCTCTGCAGGTCCCCTGGAGGATTCGTGCAGTCATGGAGGTCCTCTGATTCTCTGGGGAATACTGTAATTAACAGCGCCTTTTCCATTTGAAATTCACATGGAAATTGTACTTCTGCTTCGTACAAGGAGTGTCCACCACCCCATGCCTGTGTGCCTCAGTAAAGGATCACAGCTTCACACTCAGTGTGTGACACATTGTGTAGGGCATGTTTGGGTTCAAATAATCAAAGATCCCCCCTTGAACGGCCAATGTAGATTGATTATTCAAGGTGGGATAGACTTTGGGGCTGGTATGATTCAGTGGCTCAGTGCCGTGATCTGGGACACAAGGCCTTTTCATGTCTCTGCTCTTTCAATTCTTCCTTGGAGAGGGAGGGACTGCTCTCACAGACACGTGGGTTCTTGTCCACACATACAAGGGGAAAGGGAGGAGACAAGGTAAAGCTGCAGGAAGATGTCCAAGCAGGGAGTCCATAAGCCCACAAGTTTCCAGCAGACACCTCAAATACCACTGACCTGATTAGGGTGTGTGCTTCTCTCTGATGGAAAGATAATGGGGGGGGTGCATATTCCTCATCCTCTCCCCTTGCCTCCCCTGCCAAGGTTAGAAAGTAGCAGCAACTAAGCCGTTATCTTCAGATTGGGATTCTCATGCATATGAGCATGTGTGTGTGTGTATGTGTGTGTTTTAATTAGGAATTTATTTAGGAATTCATTGCCAGCTGTGCGAAGGTGGGTGCGGGGAGAAGTGTTGGTATAATAGTGGTGGTTATAGCATGTAATAAAGCAGTTAGCTGTAATTTCCATCACAATAGCTCAAAACTGGCACGTCCCAGCTCGATGGGAAACTTTAGGGCTTCCATTATGAAACAAGCTCAGCTCCCTGAACCTCATCCTCAGTGCCATGCGCTTGTGAGCCTCAGGCTGCAGTCCCAGGGTGGGGAAATGGCTTGTGCCAAGAAGGGCTCCTCAGGCTTTGTCCCCAATAGTAGCGTACAGTATCAGGAGGACGCGTGACACTGTAGAAGAGTCTTGTAAACCCGTCAGTCAGCATGGGCAGGAGCAAAGCCAGAGCAAAGAGTACCCAAGTGCATAACTTCTGCTACAGCCCCTTCCTGACACTTGAACCTGCTGGGCCCCTGGAGGATGTGGGCCGCCATGTAGAAGTTAACTGTCAACCAAAGGGGGTGGGAGCATCAGAGGAGTGGCTAAGGTCACCAGCCTTCCAGGAACCTTCCAGGACTCCATGGAGCAAGCCCCGTGAGCAACAGGCAACACTCCGAATACCCCTCCTACTCCCCCGACAAGCGTACCTGGGGAGCTTTTCATTGGACTGTTGGAAAACTCATGAAAGCTCAGCCCTTATTAATAGAAGATCCTTGTTGCAAGGAAAATGGTTGTCATCTTAGCAAGAGGGGCAGAACAGTGCTCTGTGTTACAAGTAAAAGTTCTGGTGAGATAGCCAATGCTGAATGCAAAACCGAAAGCATAACGGAAAGCAGACGGAAAATACACACATAAACACACACACGTGGCCGCACACACGCTGTCCCCCACTACCCGGCATACCCGCACGACCTGGGACTCTGATCGATTCTTGAAGAAAAGCTGTGATTTTTGTAGACGTGTGCTTATCAATAGCTAGGTTTGCCCTCTGCGGGTCCGATCTAACCAGTCAGCACGTTACTGATAGACGGCTGTTAATGATGCAGATGTTCAAGACGGCTCTACCTCCAACCTCAGCAAATTTCAGTTATTTTTAGACCAAAAGGAGACATCGAGAACTTTGCTGAGATCCGGTTGGATAAACTTTTCTAAAAAAACACGATGCTTATCCCGCCAGCGGGAGAGCTGAAACGGTGCCGCCGTGTATGTAAGCCACGTGGACACAAAGCCGATGAAGGCCTCCACTAAAAATGAACCACGGAAGGACTTTTTTATTTTGAACGTAATTACTGTTTCTGTCTCACAACCTGCGTAGATTTTACTATTCCACAAGATCCTACTGGATTATTTGTACGCAGCATGTTTATGAATCCAGGAAGAGAACCAAAAGCATTAGGGATTAATCTTCAACTTTCCTCATGCTCTTCTGCCTTGGATAGACCTTTAAAGCGCATCTCCCAAAAGCCATGAGTTCTCAAACAAAGGCCAGGCTGAACTGGGGCATCCCTTCCCCTTTTTTCCTTGCTTTGGCATCTTCAGTGTCAGAATGTTTTCGATTTAGGACTTTGAAACACTGATGTTAGTATCTCTTCTTGAAGCTCCACGGGCAGGGCTCCGTGACTCTCGCGACTGAAGTAAAGAGAAGCAGCGAGTCTCACGATCAAAGTCGCAATTCAGCCACTTCTTTTTGCTTCTGAAACCCCTCTCTCTGACTCTCCGCACCTGCTCAGGCTAAGGACTCCCATCACTTCTCATACTTCAAATTTCTGGTGATACTGTCAGTTTCTGTCTTTCCCCGGGCTCCCACCTAATCCAGCGGGCCACGGTGTGGTGGCAGCAACAGCGTCCAGGGGCCCTCGGCCTTGAGATTCCAGCCAAGGTCCATCTCATCAAGTGAAGCAAACAACATTTTTCATTTGCCCTGTTCCCTGAGCTGCTGCTGCTGCTGCTCAGAAATTGCCATGCAATTTAAAAATGAAAAATGTTTCATCTCTCAAGATCCTAATTTAAAATGGTTAGGAATGCGGGCCAAGTATTTTCCCAGCGACTCCTGGATTTTTCCCAGTTGTCCTATCTCATTTGCCTGATGTAGGAAAGCCGTCCGGGGGATGTCTCTATTATTCCCCCCACACCCACTGCCTTGTTCCCACCCTGCTCACCTCTTTTCTGTTTCTTCTAAGATGGAAAACTATACTCAGCCACAGTGACTGACTTCCTTGCCATCGACGCAGTCATTTACCGGAGTCTTGGAGACAGCCCAACCCTACGGACCGTCAAACATGATTCCAAATGGCTGAAAGGTGAACAAATAATTAAGAGAAGCAGGGGGTGGGGGGTGGGGGTGGAGATATGTAGCTTGAGGGAGATTCAGAGCCTGGACAGACCAGACTCTAGTTTCATTTTAGTAATGGCTTCTGACAGACAGGAAGGTGGAAATGCCATCTTTTGCCCCAACTGATTGCTTTACCTCCCTCTTTCATTTACCGTGAGTTTCGGGAGTATTAACTCAACGACCAATGTCACTACAACAGAATACAGTACATTCATCTTTCCTGCCTCAAGCTCTCATTTCAGAGTCTAACGTGAAAAGAACTGAACATTTCATTCATGGAAGGGAACGAGAGACTGGAGGTGGTGGGGAGCAGGAAAAAAGCTATTCGTGACCCTTTATGAGTCAGGGTTCACAAGGAGACGTGTACAAAATCCCTTCTGCAATGCAGGCATTCCACTGTGGAAAATAAAATTAGAGACATATGAAAATTCATTCAGTCTTCATTGTTCATTGCAACCCCTTCTGAAAGATAGAACTGGTAGGCTTGAGTGCCTCCCGGAATCACTAGCACTTGCATGTGTGGTCATTAGAAATGGTTCACGTTAACCCCACAGCTAATGGCCCTACACTTTTAATTAATGCCATGTCTCTGGTTGCAACTGATTTGAAGTTCTTTTAACTCTGTGTGACATGTCCCCAATTAAAATGCCATTTGCCCACAGAGCCGTACTTTGTCCAAGCAGTGGATTATGGAGACTACATCTACTTCTTCTTCAGGGAAATAGCTGTGGAGTATAACACCATGGGAAAGGTAAGGAGGGTTGAAGTCTCACTCGCCCCAATGTTGTTACGAATGACCTTGAAAGAAGAACCAGAAATCTAAGCTCAAGGTCATCATTTTGACAAGACTCAGCCAGAGACTGGTGGCAATGAACACAGTTCCGCCTCGGGGCCCTGGGGCCTTTTTCAGCACAGTCCCAGATCACAGGGAACCTCTGAACCGCCTCTACTGAAAATGCAACCAACTGATGTTTGTTTGGTTGACTTCACACTGAGTCTCAAGCGTCTGGAGAGGTGGTTCCCCGGTGTACTCATCGTTTTCTGTTCTTTTTTTTTTTCTTTTTAACGGAGCTGTTCCACAGGAGGAGAGTAAATATCCAGCACCTTTAAGCAAACTGAGAGTGTTGATTGTCTTTATTGCAAAAAACAGCAGAACGTTTACTGAATGTCCACTCCAGTTACCTCTACCACAGGGTGGGTCGCGGTCCGGAAGCTGGAGGGCACAAAGTCAGTGCCCAGTGGCTGGCAGGGTTGGAGGAATGGGGAGCCTGAGAGGGCCCCGAGGCAGCCAGTGAGGATGGCAGAGATGACGCCTCCGAAGTATGCTTTTGTTTGAGGAAATAAAAAGCTAAGCAGTCTGTACGGAAATGAGTTTATCTGGCTGGGAGCTGATCCCCTGAAGGATCTGTGGCTCTGTATTAAATGCCACAGCCTTATCTTTCAAAACATGCTGTTCCAATGAGTCTCCCCCCCCCCCCCCCTTTTTTTTTTTTTTTTTTTTTTGGCTACTAATTTTAGAAACACGGGATTAAATTAAGCACCTTGTTGTTGTGTTTCTGTTTTCAAAGAAAGGCAAATTCCACCACGATCTCCCCACGCTGCGCGCATCTGATTGTCCCCGGTGTGTTTCCTCTGCAGGTAGTCTTCCCAAGAGTGGCTCAGGTGTGTAAGAATGACATGGGAGGGTCTCAGAGAGTCCTGGAGAAACAGTGGACGTCTTTCCTGAAGGCTCGCCTCAACTGCTCGGTTCCCGGAGACTCTCATTTTTATTTTAACATACTTCAGGCGGTCACGGACGTGATTCGTATCAATGGGCGCGATGTCGTGCTGGCAACCTTCTCCACACCTTATAACAGGTAACCGTGCCCTGGTGGTGCTCGCCTCGCCGGTCCTTCCCGGCTTCCTCTTCCCTGGGGGGTTCTCTCCCAGTGCACAAGTCTCACAACTGACACCAAATGTGCCGCCCGCTGTTTGTGGTTAAAAGCACTTAACACTCGGTTTTCATCAACAAATTAACAGTCAGTTACAAGCATTATTAGATTAGGATTTTAGGGGAAGTAATTAGATAAATTATAACAGTATCTCCTATTTCTATGTCTGGCATGGAAACATGCCTCATGTGTTATTTCTAAATCTCTCCAGCCGTACCAGAAACTGAATACGGTTGCCCTCTTTTTACACCTGAGGAAACTAACCTCAATTCTGTCACCTGGTCCAAGTAGTCAGGAGATGAAAGAGGCACCCCTGGAACTCAAGAGCATTCCTCCTTCCTCCTCAAGGTCATCTAACGTTCTGTGTGACTTTAAATATTTCTATGACTGGATAGAAAACTTTGGAAGCGAAACCACTGAAAATGTATTGAAAGGCTACAGAGTGACATGTGAGATTCCAACAAGTCCATCGTGCACCCTACCTAAGGGGCCCTGCTTATTACCCTGTTCGAGGAACCTGGACCCCAACCGCCACTGACTCCGGAGGCTTGAGTGAGGACTTACAAGTCATCCAACAATGAACCTAGAAATACTGGCGGCCTGTTCATTCCTATGTTCATGTTTACTTAGGCTAAGGCTTTGAGTAATCTATTGACGAACTAAAAATTCTTCCTGGAGCAGAACTGTGCAGAGATTAAAAAATAGGAGGAAGGCAGGCAGAGATTCCCCGGTACTGAGCTCTACCAAACCTTAAACCTGAGAGTCCTAGCACTGTCGTATGACCGGACATGGTCATAAAATCTAAAAACATGGAATATCTTTCTCGTTTCTGTGGAGAACCTGGGATGTTCTGTATTCCCCTCTTCCGGATAAACACTGTTATGGTCCTAATCATCCTTTTGATGAAGACTTTTAAGAAGCTGAGGGGTGTCCATATGACAGGCACCTGCGTGAGGCGACTGGAGGATGGCACACAGAAATGCTTATGAACCAGGGAGAGTCTGAAGCAGAACACACCGAAGGACGCACAAACGTTCCTCAGTTAGCTGGAGGGCGAGAGTCAAGAGCTCTCCACGGAAGACGGGTGACAATATGAGTCCATACCGCAGCGAGAAGTGTTCAGTTCCGTCCAAGTGAGCTTAACCACCTGCAGGGATTTTTAGGCTTGAGCATAGAAAAGATACGAAATCCAGGCTGTGACTGCTCATACTTTGGAACCCAAATATCTAAAACTGTTTAAAAAGAATCTGTCTTGGTACATGGGAATGCAGGGGCTAGATGAATTTCGGAGCAGGTTTCTAGTTTGATGGGGGCTGGGTGGGGGGTTGAGGGGGAGTTCCCATGTAATTACAACACAGTAGTAGACTCTCGTCCGTTACAGATACTCCGTTTAAAGTATTTTCTTAGAAGTCCCCTAGGAAGCCCCCACTTAGTACATGCTTATGCAGTCTCAGAAACCTTACTTGTTCAGTAAAATGAGAAAATGGTAACAATGCATGTACCCATTTTCATCTATAGAGTCTGCCCCTGGTTTTACTGGCTCTGGTTTCATCCCTTTCCACCCCATCCTCCACACACGCAAACTTGGTCGGGAAGGGCTGTTTCAAGCCCTTGAGGTGCTCCTCTCTGCCCTGGGGACAAAACCCAAGTTCCCTGGTGAGCGTACTAGTCCCGCCATGGTCAGGCCCTTCTCCTCTTCCAGCTGCACAGGCTTACGGGCTGGAGCTAAAAGGTAGTTCTTAGATGTGTTGTGCCCATTCGTGCCCTCCTCTGCCGGGTCTGCCAGTCCCACCAACGCATCTTAGCTGAGAGCTGCTGTCATTTATTGAGCATTTGCTGCTGGAGATTAGGGATTCCATAAATACACGCTAAACGAACAGAAGGTGGGAAGAAAGGATGAATGAAGGAAAGATGAACAGAAGGTGGGAGGGAGTAAAGGAAGGAAGACGAAAGGATTTCACAAGTGATTCTAACCTTGGGAAGATTATGGAACTCTAGGGTAACTTTAGTTATTATGAGATGCCTCGTAAAATACTTCAGTAGCTATCCTATTCACCATAATATTTACATTATGTATCCCTGTTACTGTCAGAATAGGGAGATGTGAAAAGACTTTCACAAAATTAAGTAATGCTAGGGTTCTAAGATTCCAAAACCAAAGGGATCACTGTCTTATCTATCCAATTCTGTACACAATGTATATATAGTCCACATGTTTGAAAATTCATCCTGCCACTTTGTTTTAAAAAAGCTTTCTAATCCTTTCCCTAATTCTTGCTTTATTAGTAATACTTCAATAACTGTGTTATGAAATTAAAGATGGCAGAAAATTCCCCTAATCACTTAGGAAGTGATTTCCATATCCTTTCGATATTTGCAAAGTCAAGACTAAACCAGTCTCTCTGCCCTGGACAGCGCAGTCACCGTGCACAGCGCCCGTGTCTTTGGCCCGGGTACTCCCGCCCATGCCTTGGTCACTACCTCAAAGTCTGGTGAACGCTCTCGGCCAGCTGGTGCCAGCCATTTATTTGATCAAAATCAAGGAATGACCATGGTTAGAGACAAACAGGGGTTCAAATGAATGAATAATTCATGCCTTCTCCCTGCTGATTAAAAACCCCACAGTCCTTCCATGAGTACCAGAGAAGGATGTAATTACAGGTAGAGATTACCACCATTATTATTATTTAGCACATAATAGGGCACTTTATTTGCAAAACGTTGGTGCTTTAGAGGCTTAAGCTGCTTTGTCTGATGCAAATAAACAGGAAGTAAAACTTGAAATGGGCAGTGGGCAAACAGAAAATAAGCGTGCTTTCCCCACACATACATTCCCCCTCCTGGGGTCTCTGGCTGGAATAAACACAAAAAAGCAATGAGTGGACAATGGAGACACTTTTACTTCAAATGTACCCCAATATTAGAGATGTAAAACGTTTTCCAAAGACTTTAAGATTAGTGAGTGAAAATTCAGGGAATTTCTGAACCACCAGTTATGAACAAATGCAGTTCCAAAGTCAATAACCAAAGGAAGAGGTTTTTTTCCTATGAGTTTGCCGGTAAACAGTCTTATCTTTAAAGCCACCCATGCAAACGTGATTCAGGGAAACGTTCCCTGTGTATACCAGCATTCCTTACAATATTGGGGTGCAGACTTGAAATTTCCAATGCCTGTAACAGGAGAAGTGCTTTGGAGTCTGTTTTCCAAGCTGTGTGCCTAACAGTTGTGAGAGTAACGCAGCATGAAATGCTATGTTACAGCATCCCGGGGTCTGCAGTGTGTGCCTACGACATGCTCGACATTGCCAATGTTTTCACGGGGAGGTTCAAAGAGCAGAAGTCTCCAGATTCCACTTGGACACCAGTTCCTGATGAACGAGTACCCAAGCCCAGGTATGTGTAAACATTTCTGTGGAGATTCCAAACAGCGGAAAATGGGCACCTTGGTCCTCTGACTCTTAGAGAACCGCATACCAGTACCTTCCATGGGGCCCCAGAGATATAAATGCTAGGACAACAGAAAGACCTAGAAGGCCATTTGCCTTCAACCCCTTAACCTAAACTCAGCATTACTTCTAGCTATATTCAAAACAACAAGGCTCAAGTCTTCTACTTAACTTCTATCCCAGTGGCTTATCCAGTGTAATCCATCCCGTCCAGCCCTGCTGGTGTATGGTTGGGAAACGGGAGGCCCGGAGAGGCAGAATGTGTCTTGTGCAAGTGCACAGCCCTGAGTAGGTTACTTCCACCACTCCACCCTGCTTCCCCGTCCTTATACAGAGAGACCCATGTCCTCACACCCTAATCAAATGTGAAATATACATGGTGATCCCTGGATTCTGTAACCAGGCTGGACCAGAGCTGCGTCCAGGACTCCGGGGCAAGGGCGGGTAGAGACCAGTGGGTACAGTGGACCATCGTGTTTGCTCTGCTCTACCGGATTCTAGTCTGTTATGGATCCAGACACATTCCACATCCCTCCACCAAAATGTAGAGCCCCAGAATCGCTTTCATGGGGAACCTGCTGTCCCAGGACAATGCAGAGAGCTCTTGGTCCTGTGTAACCTCTGCGAAATCTTCGCATGGAGTCAGCTAATTCGTTCTCTCTCAGAGGGACAGGATGAAACTCTGCCCCGCCCCCATGCCTGCCCTCCCCATGGAGCACGCGCTACACACTTCCATTAGAACACAGGCTATCTAAGGTCTGTAGAAACGTGTGTCCAGCTTCCTCCAATGAATTTTTGAGCTTCTGCAGAAAAGCCCAGTATCTTCCTTTTTTTGGTTTCCAACACTCTCCTCCAGCCACCAGTCCCCCCACACAGAGCAGGCCAGTCCATTCAACTGAACTGACTTAGGTAATGTTACCCAGCCCCCCACCCCAACCACAGGAAGGCCTCCGTGGTTCATCGGTCTTCATCACCTGAATTATCTGCCGTGTGTATTCGCTGCTACTCATGGAAAGCAGACCGGGTGCAAAAAGGCACACTGTGGCTGGCTCAGAGAGATCCCCGAAAAGTCGCTGCCTGGGAACTCTAGCTACTTTGCAGATAGGCAGGAAGGGGAGCTAGGCTTGAGGAGTGAGATTCCAGGGAATACTCACAGACTGTGCTCCCCTTGATGTGTGAAGACGGTGACAGCCAGCTATCGCCAGGACACAAACTGTGATTTTCGGATGGTGACAATGGGTTTCTCCCCATCCTTCCACGGGCCTCCTTGTGCCTCTGGCCGACATCAAGATGCTTTCACAGGACTGGCTGGGTTAGTGCCGTAAAACGGGCGTAGATGAGGCTGGATCATGCCAGGGCTATCAGGGTCCAGTGTACTCTCCTGAACCAGTAGGCAGAGACAGGGTGTGGACAGGACTGGGGTCGGGTTTCCCCGACCTGACTTTTACTAGGCTGTCCCTGGACTCCTGAAACCACGGTACTGCTTGTAGAGATGACTTTCTGCTGTCACTGTTCAGAAATAAAGAAATGACCTTTCAGGAGAGAATCTTCAGTGTAACTGGCTTTTCATACCTGCCCAAATCAATCAAAAACACTAAAGACAAACCCTGCACATCCTCGGAGCCCCAGGTAAGGAGAGCCGGTTACAGTGAGTGTTGCTGGGCTCTACGCTGGCTGGTACTTCTCTCTGGTAGAGCAAATATGCCTCAAGGGCGTCCAGCAGGGTTTTAGGATGGGCAGCAGAGCTCCTGCCATGTGGGCAAAGCACACACCTCCCCCCTTGACTGAAGCTCCATCACTGTCTGGGAGGTTGGTCTGGGCTTCTGGGGGGAAGCCAGGCTACCCTGGCTGCAACTTCGCTAATGGAATGAGGCAGCTAGGAGAGAAGCTAAGCCTATTTTGTCTGGTGGCATTCTGCACCGTTCAGCTTCCCCTTCTCAGCCTACAGCATATTCTCCCTCATGCCAGATGCTTAGGGAAGCAGTCCGTTCAAAGAATTTGCCATAAGGCATTTAAAAAAAAAAGCTCCCTCCCTTTGTTGCTTTCCAGGCCAGGTTGCTGTGCTGGCTCATCATCCTTAGAAAAATACACAACCTCCAATGAGTTTCCCGATGATACCCTGAACTTCATCAAAACCCACCCCCTTATGGATGAGGCCGTGCCTTCTGTCATCAACAGGCCCTGGTTCCTGAGGACGATGGTCAGGTGGGTGTCAAGTGGATCACGCCCTAACCGGGCTGTTCCTTCCTCCATCTCACGCTCACAGAACCTGCCGGTACATCATGATTTGAAATGCCACAAACATCTTCTGTTATCCTTGGTGTTGCTTCAGCTAGGAAGTGCTGGCCAGCTGGGGGTCTGCCACCAAACCCCCATCACCACATTCCCAGTGGGAAGAGTTCTGATATCTCCAGGCTAAGAGGACCCGTGCCAGCAATTAGAGGGAACAAAGATACCTCCTTCCGGGTGAGAGCCTTCTGGGCAAAAGCAGAGAAGCAGTGAAGGAGAGCCAGTCGATGGATGTGAATACATGTGTGGTTGGATATGGTTGCAAAACATGCTCCAGATCCCATCCAAGTCCTGTCCCCAGCTTGTTAGCTGTCAGACAGACCGGGGATGGACAGCACTTGCGCAAGGACGCTAGAGTGAGGGAGTCACACTGTACCATTTGTAATCTGAAGGGGTGGCCAGAAGAGAAGGGACAGATGATCAGAAGTTTGTGTTAGCGTTAAATACTCCTTCTTGTATCGCTTTATAGAGTTTTTTTCCAAACCGTTCCACAGGATTTCCCAAGTATCATCCTGTTGGCGGTAGCCAACAAACAAAATGTTACTCGTCTTTACCACCATTTTTTAAACGATGACTTTAGGGGAAGATGTTAAAGGACTCTAACGGCTCTTGCCCATAAACTGAAAACTATGGTGTGAAACTTGTAGGAGGGCCCGTGTTTTCTGGTTTCCGCCAACGTGCTTGGCACAAACAGGTATCCACCGAGTGGTCAACGGCTGAGAGATACCCGCGAAAGACGGTGTCTGACAGGACTTATCAAAGGCCTGATGTCCTTCACCTACAGCTTCAGATGGGCCCTGTTTGGCCTGCACGTCCTTGTCTTTATATACAGTGCCATCGGCACGCCACCTTCCCATCCCTCAGCACGTTCTCAGCCCCACTATGTACACATGGAAAGCTTTCCAATCCAACATTTTGTTGACAAGGCTTTGCACTTCAGAGACAGAGTACGGGAAACTGGTATCTGTTGCTTGCCTTTGCGGTGGTAAATGAAATGTTCAGTGAGTTTGGTTAGTATTTCTTCCCCTCTTCCTGGGAGACCTCAGCCTTTCCTTGCTGCTCATGGAAGAGATCACTGCTGAGCGGTTGCAGATGGTGATGCCTGTCTATTTGTTATGTGACTTGGCCTCCACACATACCTCCAACCTCCCCTTGGAGCCATCCTAATGCTCCGCATGTGGAAATAAAGGACCAGAACAGCTTGAGAACATTATCTACATGCATATATTTTTCTTGGGGTTATTACTAGAAAGCTATGTCACAACTGTTTGAAGTGGGAAAGGGGACCCTTTAATGACAGACCGACAAGAGAGCTAAAAACCGTGATCCTGTCATTTTAGATACCGCCTGACCAAGATCGCGGTGGACACTGCTGCAGGCCCGTATCAGAATCACACTGTGGTTTTCCTGGGATCAGAGAAGGGAATCGTCTTGAAGTTCTTGGCCAGGGTAGGAAACAGTGGTTTCCTAAATGACAGCCTTTTCCTGGAGGAGATGAGCGTTTATAACCCTGAAAAGTACGTAGAATCTTCGGCTCTTTCTTAGTAATTATTGGTCATTATGATCCTTTTCATTCAGAGACTATGTGAGGATAGCATGTTTAGGTGACTTTTAATATTATTTGCAAAAAATACTTTAATTCATAAAAAGCATTGTTTTCTCCTTGCCAGTAACGTGTGTGTTTATATAAATACACACAAAGGGGAGGGGGACAACTTAAAGGATCTGCTTCACCTTCAGTGAGACCAGACTAAGACCCCATGGGCTGGGAGGCAGGGGGGGAGGGCATATCAGGAGAAAGAGAGCAGACTCCGGAGAGACTCTGACCGGCACCATCCTGTCTTGCGCCACCAGGTGCAGTTACGACGGAGTGGAGGACAAGAGGATCATGGGCATGCAGCTGGACAAAGCCAGCAGCTCTCTGTATGTTGCATTCTCCACCTGTGTGATAAAGCTTCCCCTTGGCCGGTGCGAACGACATGGGAAGTGTAAAAAGTAGGTATCTGGCCTCACTGACCATGAGAAGGTCCACAGTGCTTAGAGAGCAGTCCCGGTAGCTCACGGTCCCATTCTTCCCGCAGAACCTGCATCGCCTCCAGAGACCCGTACTGCGGGTGGGTAAAGGAAGGTGGTGCCTGCGCCCACCTGTCACCCAGCAGCAGGTAAGGAGCCTGAGCTGTGCGGGAGGGTAAGGCAGCCTTAGGCTGCCACACATCCTAGACACACCGTCACCCCACTGCCACCCAGCCTTCTGTGCACAGACCTCATCAGTGGGACTGCCACCCCCTCTCCTTCCTTTTCCCATTCATAGAACATGCCAGCATCACATATGGCAGATTTCCAATTGATTCATCATCCGTCCTCAGACTCTTGAAAAACACAGGGAAAAGAAACACAGTGGGCTTCTAAGTATTCCCTGAAGAGAGGGACAAGAAGGTGCACGACTTGATCGCGGCAGTGTAGGAACGGTAGAGAAAAGGCGCAACAGGGTCCCGATTAGATTAGTGCTGTGGTCTGTCCGGCCACAGCCAAACTAACTCCTCTAAATGGACTGTGCAGGGCTGAGAAGAGGTCATAGAGCATTTGTTCAGCGATGCATCGGTACAGCGAGTCCAGTAAGCCATTCCACGCACTTAAGAACAGCTGACCCTATTACTCGTTAGGGAGTCAATCAGTTCTTGGCAGTTGTCCAGCAGATCAGCTAGATCAAGCCAGTGTATCATGCCTGTGATTTTGGTGAATAAAATTGTTACCCTGGATTTAAATGCTTAGATGGCATTAGTTAGAAGGTTTTGTTTTGTTTTTTCTGTCTTTACTTTGGTGGATATGAAATCCAATGCACGTCCTTGACAAGTTAGGGCAACTCAAGGAAGGTGCCATATGGCAGCACAGTTCTATCTGAACCATTCCTTCAATGTCCCCAGATCCTAGAGGGCAAAGAACCATCTTGGCATCACTCTGAGCCTCCTCTCCCATTTTAGAATAGCTGGAGAGGCAGGAGAGTGGATCTGATGACCACCACACGCTAACTTGAGGGAAAGTATTCCCACAAACATAGGACAGTTGTCAAGTCTGACCTGGAAATCTGCCTCATGATTCATGATTAGATCACTTCACAAGTAGCAATGCTGACATACTAGCATTAGAGATTTGTATCTTTTCCTGGGAACCCCTGAGGTGAAGGAGTAAAGATTACAAATTATGGGAGGGAAGCTAAGAAATGACCTATCTCCTTTCTATATTCAAGGTGTGACCTGAGGTGGTAAGACTGATTTTTAAAAATCATTTTTAGGTAGGGGTTCCTGGGTGGCTCAGTAGGTTAAGCTAAGCTCATGATCCTAGGGTCCAGAGATCAAGCCCCACATTGGGCTCCTTGCTCAGTAGGGAGTCTGCTTCTCCCTCTCCCTCGCCCCCTGCCCCCTGCTTGTGTGCAGTCACTCTCTCTAATAAATAAATAAAATCTTAAAAAGAAAGTAACTTTTAAGTCAACATCTGAACTCCAAAATTGTTCCCTTAAGGATCTACATCTATATCTCATTGCTCAAAACATGTGGAACTCCCTTTGGAAAACGGCCTTCAGAGCCTGATGAACCCTGGCTTCTGATACCTCTGAAAATCTTTATCTTTGGAATACAAATTTGATTTTTAACAGAGAAAAACACTGGAAAGCAAACACGGTGAATGATTCGATCAAGGCTATGATTTTCCAGATGGTTTTCCTAGACGGTCCATAAAATAAACTCTAAAGGCAGTTGCAAAACAGAGTGTCAACAATGTTGTGAGAAGGAGCACAGAGCATCCCCCCAAAGAGGACAGTACTCCTCTGATTGAGTCCAGGGTGCTTCTTTCAAAAATCAAAATAGAGATGCTAAGACTGGTCTTGTTATATACCTTGTGCAGCCCATGGTAACCAAAGGGGTTTGAAAGAAGAGTGAGCTTGTGGGTGAGTAGGAGGGTAATAAGGCAAGGTTCTCAAGGTCACAGGGTCGCAGGGTCTCTGGGGGTCTCAGCACAATGTACCACCACACCCCTCGAGGGTGCTACAGGCCCCCGGCCATTTGTTCTTTGGAACACATTGTCACACAGGTCATTTCTAGGCAGAGAAACAGATCAAGGTCTAGGAAGGCAGTGCTGGGGTCAAGGAAAAGGAGAGAGAAAGAGACCTTTTCTTTTTCTTTTCTTTTTTTTTTTTTTTTCAGGCACATATTTTTCTTTTTTTTTTTTTAATTTATAGACTTCTATATCACTTATAAAGAATTATGTTAACATTTTAGGTGCCCCTGGGTGGCTCAGTGGGTTAAAGCCTCTGCCTTCGGCTCAGGTCATGGTCTCAGGATCGGTCTCAGGATCGGCTCAGGTCATGGTCTCAGGATCCCAGCTCAGCAGGGAGCCTGCTTCCCTTCCTCTCTCTGCCTGCCTCTCTGCCTCCTTGTGATCTCTGTCAAATAAATAAATAAAATCTTAAAAAAAAAAAAAAAAAAAAACGGGGGTTAATAAGGGATACCTGGGTGGCTCAATGGGTTAAGCCTCTGCCTTTAGCTCAGGTCATGGTCTCTCAAGCCCCACATCGGGTTCTCTGCTCAGCAGGGACATGCTTCCTTCCCCCTCTTTCTCTGCCTGCCTCTCTGCCTAGTTGTGATCATTCTCTCTATTAAATAAATGAATAAAAATCTTTAAAAATATTTTAAAAAAGAGTTATGGGCTGCCTGAGTGGCTCAGTGGGTTAAGCCTCTGCCTTCAGCTTAGGTCATGATCTCAGGGTCCTGGGATCGAGTCCCGCATCGGGCTCTCTGCTAGGCAGGGAGCCTGCTTCCTCCTCCCTCTCTCTCTCTCTGCTTGCCTTTCTGCCTACTTGTGATTTCTGTCAAATAAATAAAATCTTAAAAAAAAAAAAAGAGTTAAGATTTAAACTTTTTTAATGTTTAAGAAATGCTCAAAGAATCCATAAAAGAAGGACATAAATAGTCCACCAACTAATTAGCTCCCTGAATACTATCAGAATTAGTGGCTTAAACCCTGCCTTCTCTTTGGAGAGTCCCATAAAGACTTGTTTCCATAAACTTCAGAGACAGATTTTCCAGCTGTTACCTATTTCTTTTTTTGCACCTGCCATTCAGTGTATCAAACCATGTTCATTTCTGGAGTGAAACTTCAGACTCATTCCAGAGTAAGGACGTGCATTACTGAATTTGTTTCCTTCTTCTCCCTGTTCTTCTTTTTTTCTTTTTTTTAAAGACTGACTTTTGAACAGGACATAGAACGTGGCAGCACAGAGGGCCTGGGAGACTGTCACAGTAAGTACTGCTTTTTATCCATGCTCATCTCTGTGCAAAGATCCTTTGCTCGGATGGCCCAGAAACACGACCACATATGTGGGGCTGGGTGTGGATGGCCCCAAACCAGGCAGAAGTAAAAGGAATCATCTTCTAAATATCAGAGAGAGAAAACAGTGTGTTGGAAAGCCAGTGTGTCAGTGCTGCTGCTGTCAAATGCCAGCGCCTGTTTCCTTGTTATAACACTGTGGAACCAATTCATTCCAGAGGATATTAATTATAGCCGACCAGTAAGTCAAATCAGCATTTCCATTAAAAAACTGGTTTTGTTCTTTTAAAAAATGTCTTATTACACCATAATTTTTAGCCAAATAATAAAAAGACTGATCGCTGTACTCTAGCTTTTTAATTGAATGGGAGTGTTGTGTTCTTGAACATATCGCCTAATAAAAAAACTTTTTTTATTGATGTCTGTTACCACTCACAGTAGAAAAAGATTTCAGAAAGAACCCACTAAGTGCAAGATGACTCAAAATAACCTTTTTTCATAGGAATTAATCTATTATGCTTACCTCGGAGATCATCTCAAAAGTTATTAAGTTGTAACACTTTAGCTGGAACTTTCATTGAAAAGATCCTGGTCAAAAGCCTGCCCAGTTGTCCTATGACCTGATTAACGTGGGTATTCTCCTGAAAAGAATGCTGATTTAAAGAACAATGCCACTTTCTTGGAAAATAGTTAGTTTACAGTGTTTTACATGTTATAGATGATGAATTCCAGAAAGCTTATTCATTCAAAATGGCACCCAAAAATAGCTCCTGAGGGAATTAAACTCCCGAGAGAATTAAATTCCTGAGGGAATTAAAATCAGGTATACTCTGATACCTGATTCCATAATGAAAATCACGGATCCAACCCTCAATCCCTGGGGCATGAGCACTGAACTCGCAGACTCTGAGGTACCACTCAAATTTCTACCTTACCTTTTTTTGGAGATCAAAAATAATCCAATAAAGAGGACTACAGGCAGCCTTATCTCCCAAATTCTTTGCTGTATAATTTCATTTGCAAATATTACATATTGGCCAAAGCTTCTTATTAGGTCTTCAAACACAAAACTTAGGGAAAGAAATCTACCTAGGAGACAGTGTCCTCACCAAAACATTACTTGTGCGCCGTGAAACGGCTTGATGTTTGATCAGTGGATCTTAAATCATGTTAATCGTGTTGGAGCCTTACGGCTCCATTTTCAGGGAAACAAGTTCTGGTTTGTGTGTGCGTCTGTGTGAGCAAACCTAATTAGCTGACTTCAGTGAATAATTTTCTTCCTATTTTTATGATCTGGTGGTATGGGCATCTGTAGAAAACAGGAGTGTCGACTGGGACCAAATGACTGAATGGATGAAAGCTGTGAAAATGGCTGTTACCATCTCTGTCACGTGTCCACATGACCTGTGTGTTCTGGGGCAAAGGAACCAAAGGAAACCTCTGTATCTAACGCAGGGGAGCCCTTCAGGTCCCCAGCCCGTGATTTACTCTTCAATCTCTGTGTTATGGTGTGCTCCCTAACCGTGAACTCCAGTCCCAGCAAGGCACTCGGGGGGCCCCACTCAGGGCAGGAAGTACAGCGCTCCTACCACCCCCCCCGCTGCCTTTCCTGGTGGCTTCTCTGCTCTCTGCTCCTGGGGCATGACCTACTTCTGTTACAGACCTGTTCACATACAGGCATTCAGGGTTTAGATAACTGGTGCACAGTGACTCCTAACAGGATTTTAAGAGGAAATGAGGAAATCCTGAAGTCAGTGTCAGAGGCTGAACTCAGAGCAAGCTGAATGAACCAGCAATGTGACTCAGACACACAGCGTGCACACACCCGTGTGGCTAAGACGATGACACGAGGGAGAACATAAACACAAGAGCGTTTCTACTAAGTGTGGTCCAGGTGTCACTTCTTTTGCCCACATACACGTCCCTCTCTATAGAGTAAGGCCTCAAATCCCAGAATCACATACACTCACAGTTCCCATTCCATCTACTAACTCTTGCATTTGAGTCTTGACAACAAAGGGCAGTGACTTTGAGGAAACTCACTTGGGGAGAAACGGGAATGTGTGAAATTGGACCCGATATAAAGCGTCTTGTATTACACGCAGAAATTAAAAAGCACTTAGTACTGGGGACCATTTGTAAGCATAATTCTCTATTAGCTCATTCCTGCTTATTATGTAAGTCACACTAAGCAGAGTGTTAAACATTAAGTAACCTTCTCCTCCCTTTTGTCTTCCAGATTCCTTCGTGGCCCTGAATGGTAAGAAAGATATTACTCATAATTTAATATCGATGGAAATCTATATGGGAAATCCTGTTTCACTAATCCTCTTGAGTATTTTCAAATCTTGGGTTTCTTTTTTAATTAATTTTTTTATCCTCATTATTTTTTTATAGACATTTCAACTCCTCTTCCAGATCATGAAATGTCTTACAACACAATATATGGTCAGTTTACGGATTTTTTTTTTTTTTTTTTTGGTAATTCCAAGCCACTTATCCTGTCATAGCTTATAGTTTTCATCCCTAAATATCATGGACCAGATTCTTCGTTACTTCAGGGCCCCAATTCACTAAAATTATTTCTCCATCTCATGATGCTTCAAAAATCACTGCCTGTGAGAGACAATTGACATATGAGACTGGCTCCTACCTTTTTAATCCACAGAACATGAAATTCGCCAACCTCAGGGAATTCGGTGAATATATTTAATGAGTTCTTGAGGGAGAAGAAATTGCTTTTGGATATAAGTATACCAAGATAAAAGAACAGTGCGTGTAAGTAATAGGCCATAGCTCTCAACTGGCAGAGTACCATTCCCGAAAATGCTGACTTTCAGGGCGCTGCCCTCTGCAGGGGGAAGAAAATCTGTACATCACGCAGAGACCAGTTCTTAGGAGGCAAACCTTTCCAATATCACATGAAAATTAGCCATCGAAATTTAAGTTCCCAAAGAGTATGAGCATTTAGACGTATTTTCAGTGAGAGTTCTTCCAAATGTATACAAGGAAGACTGACGCAGGGGAAACGATGTGCAAACAGGATTTACCCCATTGTTCCTGCTCTGAAATACACAGACACTACATTAAACAAAGCCATAAAGTCCATAAACAGAATATTCCGAGCCCTTTATAAGAAAAACTGAAATGGAACTGAAGTGTTCCACTGCTGTTTCTCAGAGTTCCCCCAAACGTTTATAGGATAAACTATTCATGTGTTTTTTAAATATGGAAAACACATGTGATGGAAGACTGAAGCTTTGCATGATAACGGGGACAAAGAGTTTCACTGGTGCACAAGCGCTGTAGAGCTTTCGTGTTAAAAATGTGTTAACAGTAACAATTCCAGGACAGCCTTTAAATGTAGAGGCAGGGAATAAAGGAAGGGGGGAAAAGGAAAGAAAAGTAAGGCAGGTTTAGGATTCAGAGAAATAGTTCAAGATGGCTACAAATGTGTTTAACAGCTCTATGTAATAAACTTTTACTCCCTGTGTCTAATTAGCATAAATAAAAAGCCTCTTTGGAAGGCCTAAAGCCTGTGCACTCCTAAGTGAGCTGTGCTAATATGGGAAACAATGCCTGGTTCCCCTGTGAAGGGGGGCCACGAGAGCAGATGAGCCTAGAGAATTCATCCACCTTTAGTCGTATCTGCCAGAACGCTGAACACTGAACACCAACAATGAACAAAAATTTCTCAGGAAGCAGATGTCGTCTAGCTTAGCTCACCTTCAGAAGGAGAACCCACTGAGCATCTGCTCTCCTCCACTATCATGCTTTGCAATCATCTCCTAGAATTGAATAATCTTTACCAGGTACTGAGGAATTCAGGTCTTAAATCTAATTGAACCAGCAACCTCCCCAGCATTCATCAATTGGACGGAGACCACTTTTAACTCCCAGGTAATTTCTCACACAGAAAGAGTAATTAGACGATGGGACACTTTCTATGAACAAAAAGTCACCCTTCCAAGCTGTGGATCTCTAGTTCCTTTACAAAGGGAAAGGAACATTTTAATTCCTCCATATTAACATCTTAAGGGATGATGCCTGTTCACCCTCAGCTCTTGATCAGTGGCTTCTGTAATGAAACTAAAGAAGAGTTGGAATTTTCCTTTCAACTAATGATCCTGTCCATTTTAAGCCTCATCTGTCCAGCGTCAAGTGGCTAGATAACTGACTGACCACCAAAATAAGAACTGGTCCAGAGAGTACTTACAAAAACACAGGAGACCTTCTTTTCACAAACTATTCCAAGAGATGCTTGTTTTGGAGTTAAAAAAGCTAGAACAGATTTAATTAATTCACTCAAACATGTGTTGAATGCCCACCATGGTGTCAGGCGCTGGACTAGGCACTGTATTTCTACCATCAAAGACCAAATTGCTATTTGTATGAGCATGGACACAGACTAAGAAGCCAACCACAAAGTCTAAAATGCACCCACTGTTTCTAGCTGTGTCCTTTGCACACCCCCCCTAAAATGTTCAGTGGCTGAGCTGAGGCTCATAGAGCCATGAGAACTGCCTGACTCACAAAAAGGAATCATTGCGATAAGTCTTGCAATCTCTCTGCTTGGCAAAAATTCTGTGCAACAGCAGTCACACTGCAAGAACCTCTTTTTAGTGAATTGGACCCTGTTTTCCTTCTCTCTCCCTTTCTTGTATTGATTTAGTATCTCTTGTTTTGTGTCTAATTGGCTACAGTCATTGTTAATAGATAACAGTGGTTTGAAGGGTCTCTAACCTCTGGAGTCACAAAAACTTGTAGATATAGAGAAACAATATGATGCATATTAAAATTAACTCCTAAAATCTATTCCTTTGCATATGATAATAATAATATATCAGGGGCGCCTGGCCAGCTCAGTCAGTGGAGTATGCAACTCTTAATCTCAGGGCCGTGAGTTCAAGTCCCACGTTGGATGGAGAGATTACTTAAAAAAAAAAAAAAAAAAAAAGGATCTTAAGCTCCACTGATTAAAATATGACCCTTCTTAATGGGTTAACAAGACAAAACCATAGGCTCCAAATCTACTGACCTGTAACACCGTATCTACAAATAAATGCCTATTTGCGTAGCATTATTTTGGTTACAGAGTCTCTTAGGGAATATACAAAAATGATACAGCCTGTAGAATCAGATTTTAAGAAAGAATGTAAGTGATTTCCTTTTAACATTTTAAGCTTGGAGAAGTAGTAATAACACACCTCTCTGATTTCAAACGAAGGACTGCTGTTTAACTGTGCTCTTACAAGGCGGTTCTAAAATTTTTGAGAATCAGGCATTGCTTTCTCCAACTGTCTGGCTCACTAGTGACACGTGTTGCCTATCTCAAGCCTAAGTTTAAAAGAATACAAACCTCAGGCTGCTCAATTTTTTTCTTTAATCTTGAGTACATCAGATGCACGGTTTCTCTAGATTTACATATAGAAAATGGGGATGCGGTGGGTATTAGACTAACACTTCAGCAATAGGAAGGAGCTGATTTCTCACATTTGTTTAAAGCATTTTTCTACCTAACTACCATCTGGTCCACATTAATTTCCTCTCATAGCCATAGCTTTCCATTACCAATGAGTTTTCCATGTATCTGCAGCATATGGTCCAGGAAATCTTTCAACGGAGAATGTGTCCCTTAGGCATATATTTCCCCTAGATTACCGTATTAAGAAATGTTCTCCCTAAACCATACTTATGGCATTACCATAAAATTGCCCTTGAACACAGTTAAATTGAAAGTACTCAAAATGCATATCAATTCAGGTAAAAGAAATTCTTGCTACTTGGAGAAAAGGGTTTTGTCCCCCCCCATACCCCCCCATTCTAACTCCCTACAAAGCGATTTCTAATGGTTTGCCTAGGCTGGGTGCTGAATTCTCTCTTGGGATGACCACGTGTCGCCTAAGAGCGGTGTAGAATTCAGGAGTAGAAAACAAGAGGCTCTGTTTCAGACCGCAATATAAGCAAAAAAGAAGTCAGAAAATCTGCATTTACAAGTTTGGCTTAATTTCACTACTCCTGTCGTCTTATCGGTATTAAGAGATGCGCTGTGAAACCCAGAAATAAAAAAAGAGAAAGTCTAGAGGCAAGCATCCTTGAGTTGCAAATGAACATGTTCCTAACAGCTGGATAGAAACCAGACTATGTGCACCAAAGCCAGGGTTGGAAGCTGCGTGGAGGCGGACAAAATTTACGCAGGAAGAGGTTTCTTAAATGTTGCGCACGTGCTGTGGTGGCATTTGAGAGCGGCGTTTCCGCAGAAATCAGTAGAGTGTGGGCGGGCCACTTGGCTTCTTTGCTTTTCCCTCAGTCTTTTTTACGTACATTGTCTGTTACGGGCAGTACTGGAGTCTCCTGGGAACCCAACTTACTATAATGAGTGTCACAAAGACGAGTGCGGCGCACTGATCACTGTCATCTTCCTTCCTGGTCACCAGTATTTTATTTGTCACATACGTGGTGATCACAGCCCAAGGCGGGAGCCACCTGTGACTCTCCTCCTTTCTGCCAGAGCCACTGACTCCACATTCACAGTGTTTGCCTCGATGGTCTTTCAAACACCATGCAAGAGGAGGCTGCCATAGCGAAGATGGTTTAATGAGCCAAAGACTCGAGTCGAAAATCATGGAGAGGTTAAAATTTATTTCTCCCAGAGAGAACAGGTAGTGGGGCTTCCTTTAAATCACTGTGGCAGTTTACATCAAAGCACCTGGTGCAACCTGTATTTAACCTTGTGGGATGGTGGCAGGAAAGCTTAGGAATGTGTTCACAGAAGTATCCAGAGTTTCTGCCCTAACTCCCAACCTGGCCATGCTTTTCCTAACATCATCCTCTGGTAGCCTCTGGATGTCAAAAAACTGTCCCCTTCTAATCTAAAGCATGTCAGTCAGTGCGGCCTCAAGAACGACCTCTCCCAAGCCAAAGTCAGGAGGCCATGCAGCTGACTTTGCTGGAACAAGACACAGAAGGCAGAGCCATGGCAACACAGGGCAGCAGAGGATATCACTCCAAGGAAGCGGTGGTGAGAGCAGGTCCCTTTAGAAAGCCATCACTTCCCTTAGAAATGGGGAACCCGTGAAGCTGAGTTGAAGCTGAACGCAAGACACACCCTCCAGGAGAGAGGCTAGGGGAGAAGGGCTTGGGACCAAAGAGTTGTTCCTAACAGGCGAGAGGCTCCTCTACTACCATCCACCCACCCCATTAGTCACAGAGGGTGTCCCCCAGAGTGGACACATACTGCCTTTAGTGGTGCTACACGAATATCAGAGAAGGCCACCGGTCCTTCTTGAGCACGTGCTGTGTGTCAGACACTGCTGGGTACTTTCCCCACGATGTCACCTTATCCTCCCCGTGTGAGGAGGATAAGGTGTCATCATCCCCATTTTGTGCACAAGGAAAATCAAGGCCCAGAGAGATTAAGTGAATCTCCCAGGCTCACCGAGCAAGCAGCAGAGATGGGCTGTGGCCCTTCACCCTCCACCTGCAGGGAGTATTCTGCAGAACCCCAACCCCAAGCCTGTTACCTGGAGGGCAACCTCCTTTCAGTCCTCCAGCCAGCCTGGGGAGCCCCTCCTGGCCTCTGAGCAAAGGGAATGTGGGGGTGTCCAGCGATGTTCTCCCTAACTGTATTTGTGATGAAAACAGGGCACTCCAGTTCCCTCTTGCCCAGCACCACCACGTCAGACACGGCGGCTCAAGAGGGGTATGAGTCTAGGGCGGGAATGCTGGACTGGAAGGACCTGCTCCATTCACCCGACAGCACAGACTCTTTGGGGGCGGTGTCTTCCCGTAATCACCAAGACAAGAAGGGTAAGGCCTTGGAAATGACTCTTCCTCTGGGGGGAGAGGGAGGGAAAAGTGAGGAGGACTGTGTAACTGCTTCCAGCTGAACCGTGCAGTGTTGAAGGAACCTCCAACACACTCTGATTGAAAGCTTCTCAAAAAAAAAAAAAAAGACTGCAATCCAGTCCTCTGTGCTCGGCTTGATCCCAAATTATTCCGCGATCAAGGAGAAACCACACAAAACAAATAACACATCCTCTAAGCTCCCTCCACCCAAAAGAGGTGCAGTTTGGCCCAAAGCAGACCCCTCTCCACTCCTCTGAGCTCATTCTGGGATTCTAGGTCCTCTTCCCCCATTCCGTTAACGGGACGGACGGCAGAGCCGGCCTCGGCATGTGCATGCAATCCAAGCAAAGTCCCGTTTCCTGCGTGAATGGGGAAACAGTGGGCCAGAGTGTCCTCTGGCCGGTAGCGTCCCTCACTCACGCGTGGTGCTGAATTTGAATGGAGCCGTGATCCCGCAATGTACTGTAACTGCCCTTTGAGGACAACGGCTGAGACAAAAATATGTCATTTAATCAAGCAGAATTGCTATGCATTTAAAACGGAAAGGAAGCTGAGCTCAATGAAAGGGACTCTACTGTGAACTGTCCTAAATTCTCCCCTGCTTTCTTTGCTCAACGAGAGACAGGAAATGTCCTCTCTTTTCTCGCCGGTGGCTGCTTCTGGTAACACATCCTACTTTAGTTGCAGCTGCAATCGAAGAGGCCTTTACTTGTCCAGAAAACAGTCTTGTAAATCAGAGCCTGAAAAGCCCAGTTATGTCGCGAGCTGCTTCCCTTCATTCAGAATTGTTCACTTCTATATGTTTTCAAGAGTTTCATCCAAGCGGGGGTTGGAGTCTCGAGGGCAGACCAGCCACCGTGACCCTTGGAAGCCAGTCTCTGTCATGTCCCGCGTCCCCCCTCCCGGGGTTCTCTATGTACATATTTCCATCTTTACTTCAAGAGGCCGTTTGCCAGGCTGACCCATGCGCTGGACTCTCGCCCGCTTTTTTGCAACTCACCTCCGCTGCTGCGTGGGCCAAGCTGCCGTGCGCAGGTGCGGCCCTTGTAACTTGTTCCAGAGCATGCCCCCTCCAAAGTCCATTTTCTTATTCCTCTAGAACTTCTGATTCATATTCCCTGCCCCAAATCTTAAGAAGAGTGGCTTCTGCCTCAGCAGCCTCCTGAAACTGGAGGCATCCCCGCTCTTCCCGTTCCGAGAACACGCCAGGCTCACGGGTGGCGGGGCAGAACCATCACGGCGGGCCACAAGCCTACCATGTGCCATTATTTGTCATGTGTGGCTCCAGACCACAGATGTGTTGGTCTTGGCCGAGTTCTCCAGAAGAGACAGCTCCATGAACTCCCTGGGTGTTTGCCCACTGTGACTTTCTGAAAAACCAAACAGCCATCCCCGTAAAGCATTCAATATGTCAACCAAATAGCTGGCTGTTGGTTCCAATCATTTCCTCTTCGCCTCACCAAGACGGGTGGCGTGAATCTTCCCCAGTCGTTAACTCCCCAAGGGATGGAGGTTATCAAAGAGTCCAATTAACACTTTGACAGATCATTTTAAAATTCGGCATTGTTCATTCTCTAGGGTCTTATTATGAATATTGACAAAGCTGGAAGCAGTCTACAAATTGTCAAACAATGGTGGCAGAGGGGACTGCATGGGTGTGTAACATGATCACTGTTCTTGTGCTGTTAACTCCTTGCCTTGCCCTGTCAAATTCAAGTTTGGTTTCTGACAATTGATTACGGTTTGACGGGGCAATGACAATGGGTTGTTACGCAGAAAAATTTTTCTGAAACAAAATTGTAGCTTAATGTTCCTTTTGCCATGATTTTTATGATTTCAATTTCCATTTTGCTCTGAATTGTTTTTCTGTTTAATGTTCATGATTTATTTTCAACTTCTGTTCTGTTTTGCTAAGCACTGTGTGGTATGACTTGGTGATGGCGTTATTCCGTTGGAAAAGTCTTGTTTCTTTTCTGACTCATGATGACGTCCCTTAACTTGGCCCAATCCGTGATCTCCTCGCTTCTTTTCATTTCCTGATGTGGGTGCCTTAAAGATGTCACATCCGTGTGTGCAAGCATCTCCCGGGATGCGAGAGTTTCATGGGTTTTGGCGAGGGCCTCTGGTGGGTGCTCTTTTCACTGGGTCAGTTGTCTCATGGGAATGTGACATTTGTGTGCCCCAGCTTTAGGAGCTAAATATACTCTGGAATTGTTTCTAAAACATCACACATTTCCCCGCTAAGCAGAAAATGTGTCCCGCTCACCAGCTTACTGAGGAGGAGTCAAGTGCCCCATGCCTTGTTTTTTCATTCTGGCTGCTAAGTAAGAGGCCAGCAAGCCCAGGAGCCTGCAGCTCTGCCCTGCAGATCTGCTGACCACCGCTGAGCCGGCCCCACTCTATGTCCCACGTCATCCTCCAAACAATCCTGCATTTCCAGAGTATGTTTGCTTGTCTTTTTCTTTCTTTTCCTTGCTGTTGTCTTTCGTCTTGACTTAATCCTGTGCGTTCCTCATATTCTGTCAAAGCACCAATCCTCACCTTGCGATCTAACCCCTTCTGCTACCATTGTTCTCAGCCTCCCCCTTTCCAAATAATAGACCCAAGCCCTCTGCCCTTCTGTGGAATGTTCCAAGGCTCTTTCCTTCTACACCGTGAGTAGCCTTCTGACACTGTACGTGTACAGAGACAGCCATACTAAGAGGCCTGTAAGGCTCGCAGAAGCATTATCACCGAAAATGAAGTAATTTTCTCTCTCAGTAACTGGCCTTGCCCTTCATTACCCTACTGGCCTTGTCTAATGTCTCTTGTCCTTGCTGCTTTTCTTTAAAATTGCCTGATACCTTTCAAGCCCTAGATTCATTAGTAAAAACACAGCCAACTGCTCTGTTTTATCTCTGGGTCCCTAGATGTCTGGAGCCTCTAGAGCCAGCCCTTTAATCACCAAGTTGAGAAATTGGATGCAGCCCTGGCTACTTCTTTCTTGGTTTTGCCACATTTAAAAATATATATTATTTATTCATCCTATAACTATTGAGGTGGTAATGAGTAGTTACAAAGGGGCTCTAATTACATATGAATAAGAAAGAAAATCCAGTTTATTTTTAGATCTGGCTCATCTCCCCACCCCCACCCCCTTCCCACAGCCAAAGAAATAAGAGGTTTCTTTTTTAGGTTAAGCAATACTGAAAATTAATAGCCACTCTGTGCTTCTTGTTTCTGACCAAAAGTAATAATACCATAAAAACTGATTTCCAAGAAGACTGAGAGATATGTGAGGAAATTGGCCATGATCTGCCAAGGAGCCGTGTAGCATAAATATAAAATGTAAATGCTGACCACTGCTGTTAGGACACAATACATCAGAGCAGGAGAAAATCCCCTACTTCAGACTGAGTTCTTGTGAGCTGTCAGAAAACAGATAAAATAGTCAATATATACAAAGATGTTCCCATTTGATTGGAAATGTCAGCACTGTAGAATGCTTATATATTTTGGAAAAATCTCTAAAGTGAGATACTATCAATTACATTTAGTCAAGAGGATATATACTCGCTGCACACAAGAAAGAGATGTGGAAACCGAATTTAAATTAGAGATCAGATGAATAATTTAAACTAAAACATACAGTAAATGTTGAATATATTTTAATCAATGTACAAGCCATTTGTGTAAGCAATTCCTACTTCAGGAAATAACATTGCAGCAAGATTCATAAGGTCTGTCAAGTGTGGTGATGAGTATGCTGTCCATACTTCATCAACAATCCTGAACAGAATTTTCTAGATGATAGAGTTCATCAACGGTTCCTCCAACACCATGTGGCCTCCAGCAGCAGGGCCTCCCAGTGGGACAGGCAGCTCCTTATAGGACAGGATTTAGGTTGCTGGGGACATCACAGCCTTCAAGAATACTGAATCCTGTGTGGGAAGGTCATGTCCTTTTCATTCCTCTTTCGGCCTTCCTGGTTATGTCAAGGGAAGAGTCTCAGTTTGGTGCTTCATTGATAACAACTCCCTTAACTTGCCACTTCCCACTTTGAGAAAAATAAACAGGTTTGGGCTGGGGGCTTTGCTATGCAGCTGGAACCAACTGGAAATTACAGCGGTTTTGCATTCAGTTATCTTTTTTATGGTTACCTTCTATCTATGAAAAGTGATGCTTTTACCCCCATTTATGATAACGACAAAGTTTCTACTTCGAAGACATTTTAAAGGTAATTTAAATTAAATACTAAGTAAATGCGAATGCGTGAAGTCCAGGGGGATAAAATTACTAAGTAATATGATAGGTAAGACTCACAGGTGCCACTAAAACTGTAGTATTAGTAGCTGCATAACTAAAGTTTGGATAACTCTGGCCTCAGGCAATTAGAGGAGTCCAGTGGGGATTCAACTACTATCAAAACATGGCTTCTGGCATTTGGAGGAACAAGATTTACAACCACCATGCTTCTGTGGGCTGGGCTCCATGTGTTGCAATGTTATGATCTAGTGCACTTCTGACATCTCTTCCAACTACTGAGCTTTGTGACTGGGGATGAGAAGTTTGGTCAAGTAAGAGTTGAGAATAAAACAGATTTAGACTAAAAGGAAATTACTGATTCTAGTCTTACTAAGCATCTGGTGAGCAGCTTCTCCAGACCAGCTGTGGGCCCCCAAGGATACCTGTAGCTAGTGATTCCCCAAGTTGTGGCCAAGGCCAAGGGAAAGCTGAGCGTCAGCATTTCTGCTGCCCATCTGCTTTTCCATTACCGGTCTGGACTCGTGACACAGTGTTCCCCTGACCTGGCAGTAACCTACTCCTGACCCCTTTGTCCCTCTGATCCCATTCAAACTCTACCTATTCTGAGCCTCAAAACCTCAGAGCCAGGCTTTCCTCATTAACAAGCTGAGAAATCCAATTTGAGGTGAGCGTGGCCCCAATGGCACTAGCTTTTTAACAACCTCCGATCCTTAAAA